TTGATGTTATTATAATTATAGAGAAAAAACAAGTTTTACTCAGGTTAGCCACCAGGGGGAAATTACTCTGTCACTCGGTCTGTCAGAAAGAAGTTGCCATTCTCCCTCACGTAACAGGGAAGTCAGTTTTGTTCCTGATCTTTATCTGTTTAATGAGGTAGAGAATCTGAAGGCAGGTTAATTCACTTTACTTTTTTGCTGTTAACTTTTATTTTTGTTAATCGTCACCCGAGGATATTTTTTTTCCCCATTGACTTTTTAAAGAGAGAGTGGAAGGGAGGTGTGTGTGGGGAAGAGAAATATTGATGTGAGAGGGACTCATAAATCGGTTTCCTTCTACACATACTCCATCAGGAGCTGGTGCGCAGGAGGCAGCCAATCAGTGATTCTACCTCATCATTGATGTTTCTGTCTCTTCCTCTCCCTTTCTCTCTTAAATCAATAAAATAGTATGCAATACTTAAAAAAAAAAAATACACACTGTCATTATTCCTCTGAAAAAGCAATAGTATTTCTCAGGTGTCATCAAATAGCCACCTGGCATTCATGTTTCCTCCTCTCCTTATAATCTTATTTTTCGAAAAACAGTTGACATCAGAGATCGAACAATATCTGATTTGTGATATTGTCATTAATATCTCTTAAATTTCTTTTCATCTAAATTTCAAATTTCCTCTTTCAAATATTTTGTTCATTCCTTGCCAGTTTGTGTGTGTGTGTGTGTGTGTGTGTGTGTGTGTAAAATAAAACACGTTTTTATCCTATAAGGTAGGATAATTGAAAATCTCTTAGTGCCATTATTTGTATAGATTACAGTTAATCAATATTTACTATATTACAAATTAAATACATAATTTAAACTATTTACTTATTTAAAAATAACAATAGGCCCTGACCAGTTTGGCTCAGTGGATAGAGCGTCAGCCTGTGGACTGAAGGGTCCCAGGTTCGATTCTGATCAAGGGCATGTACCTTGGTTGCGGGCACATCCCCAGTAGGAAGTGTGCAGGAGGCAACTGAATCGATGTTTCTCTCTCATCGATTTTTCTATTTCTTTATCCCTCTCCTTCTCTCTTCCTCTCTATTAAAAAAAAAAAAAACACAATAAAATATATTAAAAACACACACAATAGTAAACCCATTACATTAGTGTATGTAAGCAGTTTTAATGAAACATAGTTTCAAAATTAAAAGCACACTAAATAAGTACTACTGTTTCGCATTTTTGTAAATCTCTTCAATGTCTCTGGCTTGATAGAAGATAGGTGGATTCTGATATTTGCTTCTGCATTCGATCTATTGCAGTATGCTATTTTGGTTGAAATTTATGGGGTTGGAAAAGGGAGGTGTATTTTCATTTAATGGTGGATATTCTTCTGTGACATTTCACCAAAACTTGACAGGTGGTAGCTCCTTTTTTTAATCCTCACTCTAGGATATGTTTAGGGAGAGCAAGGGAGGGGTTGGTGAGAAAAAGAGAGAGATTGAGAGAGGAACATTGATCAGTTCCCTCCTCTATGTGCTCGGACGAGATGACGCTCCAGCCATTCAAGCCACCTGCCTGGGCAACAAGCAATAGTTTCTTAAATGTCAGTTGCAGTGTGCTGTTTGAAGCTCTGTTGATCAGTTTTTAATACTTTGTTGCTTTAGAATCTATTGGTCTATCTTGCACTTTGAATGGATCCTTTACCCATGCATAATTTTGTAACATTAAGCATTGGTCATTTGGAAAATAACTGCTCCGCCACGTTGTGCAGAGCTTCTAAATGTTGACAGTATTTTATTGTGAAATATTTTAAAATCGTATTCATGAATATTACCACCCATCTTCATAGAAAAGTCTTTAGCTGTTAGGAAGTTTCAAGCTTCTTGGTGGTGGATATACACGCTTTTCAAAAATTCTGATTTTCCATTGAATGCTCAAATGGTATCATTAGCTACAAATGCTGTCAGCATTTTTCTTGATGTGACAGGCTCACTTCATTTATTTTTGACAAAATATTTGCCAAATATTCAAACCTGAATAAACATAGTTTTGGAAATAAAAAAAAAAATGGCTCTTTCCATGGAAAACAAAATAGCTTATGCAGCTTGTATCTCAAACAGTTCACAGGCTCTTTTCCTTGAGGCAACCACAGTGCTTTGGCACGCCCAACCATTTTGTGGTACCTACTTTATCATCACACAGAATATTAAAAGACTAGAGGCCCAGGGTATGAAATTCGTGCACTCGAAGTGGGAGTCCCTCAGCCCGGACTGTACCCTCTCACAGTCTGGGAGCCCTCGGGGGATGTCCAATTGTTGGCTTAGGCCCCCTTCCCAGAGGAGAGCCATCAGTAAGCCATCAGTCAGACGTCCTTAGCGCTGCCCCTTGGAGGCTGGAGAGGCTCCCAGCACTGTTGCTGCACTAGCCAGCCCAGCTTCTGGCTGAGTGGTGCTCTCCTTGCAGGAGGACACTGACCACCAGGGGGCAGCTCCTGCATTGAGCATCTGCCTCCTGGTAGTCAGTGCATGTCATAGCGACCGGCCATTTGTTGTTTGGCTGATTTGCATATTAGCCTTTTATTATATAGTATGTATATTCAGGTTTCAAGACAAATATTTCATCAAGGATTGTCTTTAGTGAAACTGATATTTGTTTACTGTGAATGCAGGATGGTGAAGACAACAGTGGCCGCAGCTTTGCCCACTAATGCTTTTGTTCCATGAGTGCACATGTCAACAGAGTGAGGGAGGCAATAATGCTTAGTATTTTTATGAAAACAGTGTTGACTTCTTGGACCTTTGTAAAGGGTCTCAGGGCACCCCAGGGTCTGTGACCTGTGCTTTGAGAAATGTTACTAAAGAGTTTCTGACAGTCCCAATTTTGCTTCTGATATTTTTTTGGTGTGATTTAACGTGTTCCTTTGTTCCTGGTGTTTTCTGTAAATAAACTTGATCAGATTAGGTTCGATTTTGTTTTTTCCTGGCAATACTCCTTCATATATGGTTGTTTCTTAGAGCCATTAATTTGTTACATGTTGCAAATGGTTATGTTTCAGTTCTGACATTCCTTTGTTTATTAGCAGGAATTCTTTCTGAAGGAAAATTTCTTCTCACCCAACTATCAGTTACCCTGAGATATAGTTTGTATGGGTCTCATGATACAGGCAGGGTCAATTCTTGTTTATTTTCCCAGATTGTGACTTGTTTACCATCCACCACCCCCCCCCCCCCCCCCAAAGGTGGCCAGTAAAGTGTTTTAGGTTTGCTTTTTGTTTGGTTTTGAATATCATTATGAATTCGTGGATTTAAACTTATTTGACGTGTTTCAATTCAACACAGCTAGGATCCTTTCCTGGGCCTGCAGGAATCTCTTCAATTGCTCCTGAGTTCTTCCGATCTGACCTCTGTTGTCCTTGATAGTTTACTTTTTTTTGTTTGACGTGTTCTTGGCTCTTCTTGCACATTTTTTGCCGGAAATCACCTTCTCCAGGAAGACCTCACAGAAGTGGTATTTAGAGACCACAGTTGGAGCTCTGGGCTGCAACTAAAACTATTCATTCAGATTTAGGACTCATTGATCTTTCCCATTGCTTGTCAATGACCTCAATATAACTTGTTTTATCCCATACTACACAGAAAATAGTTTCAAAGAACAATATAATGCTGCCAATAACTATGATTATGAAAAAAGTTATTTTGCAGCTTTTTAGAAAATGAAAATTAAGCATTATCCTAGTTTAGCTAACTGAATTGGTTACCTTAACACAGCGTTTTGGTGTTTACTGTACATGTTGAGACTTTTTTTTTTTTCTATTTCCGGGAATATCAAATTGGCAGATATTTCACCTGTATTAAGTAAATTTACTGAAAGAGTCGATCATACTGTGCATTCATTATATTCATTCCTTGCTCTTTTTTATTATCCAAATGGTTCCTTTTTGTTTATAAACATTTTCTATTCTTTATTCATACCTACTCTCTTTTCAATGTTTCAAAACAAAAAAAAACTATTTAGAAGGCAAGGAATTATTTCTTACTAGAGGCCCGGTGCATGAAAATTCATGTACTGGAGTGTGGGGGGGTCTCTCAGCCTGGCCTGCTCTCACATCCAGGATCCTCAGGGGTGGGAGGCAACCCAGCGATCAGGGCAAGGTGATGTCCCATCACATCTCTGCTACTGCCACTGCTGGCAGCGCAAGCCTTGGCCAGCCCTGGTTACCTAAGCTTCCGGGTGGCCCTGGGCGGTTGGAAAGCTGCCATCTGAGGCTTGCCTGTGCCTTGGGCCTGCCCTGGGCAGCTGCAGGGCTGAGGGCAGGTCCGGCCACATCACGCGCCTGCTGCCCTCCGGCGGGGCTGAGGGGATTGTGTGGTGCCATCTTGTGGCTATGGGCACTGCCATATTTGTGACACTGTGATGGTCAATTTGCATATTTCCTCTTTATAAGATAGGGTGGCATCATGATTCTTTGGTGTGTTTTCCCCCAAAATATATTTTTATTGATTTCAGAGAGGGAGGGAGAGGGAGAGAAAGATAAAAACATCAGTGATGAAAGAGAATCATTGCTTGGCTTCCTCATGCATGCCCCACACTGAGGATTGAGCCCATAACCCAGGTATGTGCCCTTGACGGGAATTGAACCTGGGACCCTTCAGTCCCCAGGCCGATGCTCTATCCACTCAGCCAAACTGGCGAGGGCATGATGCTTTGTTTCAAGTGAATTTGCTATGAAACAATGAATTTCTTTTTAAGAATAGAAATATTTACCGTGACACTTTATAACTTAGAAATTTTATTACTATCTTTCTGCTGTAACTTACCATGGATTACATTATACAATAGTGTTGATATTTTCTGAAGTAGTTATTTCTAGATCTGTGGACATGAGATGTTATGATCAAGAAAATTATGTAAATAAGGGAAATTAAAGTAATGACCACTGAAATAAAAACTGATTTATATGTGGAATTTCCCCCCGCCCCCCTCTCTCTCTCTCTCTCTTTTTTTTTCTCTTCAGGTTAAAAAAATAAATCATGACTGAATCTGCCTCTAGCACAAGTGGTCAAGAATTTGACGTATTCAGTGTTATGGACTGGAAAGATGGAGTAGGTACATTGCCAGGAAGTGACTTAAAGGTAAGCTATCTTTATTATGTACAATTTTATGTAATTATAAAAATTAAAGCTGAATATGTACGCAAACTAAGAACTGAAAACATTAAGCACAATGCTGTATGTTTTATGTGATACTCAGACCTCTACAGTAAACTCTCATGGCAGTTGGACATGCTTGTGGTTTGGCAGAAGCCTTGGTCACTTGGGGTGGAGACTAAGGAGTGTTTCGACAGCCATGTGTTCATTTTGCAGATAGTGAGTTACAGCTTCGAGGAGGATCAACTCAGGTTTGACTCTCATGATGACCAACAAATGTGGCAGTGGTCGGTGAGAAAACCTGGCTTCTATTTTGTAGCAATGGGCTTTATAAATTTAAGTAAACACACTCCCTGGGCCCTAGTTTTCTCATTTAAAAACTGGATAATGTTAAAATATTGAATAAACAGAATTATTTACCTCCCTTAAATTATTTACATTGTAAATACGGATTTTATATAATCACTTGTTCAAAAGGACTGGTTCCCCTGTACACCAGGCTGCTTTTTGTGGATGAGAACTCTCTTCAGAGAGTGATCCCTTCATGTGCCTCTTTTCTAGGTGCTCACCTTGCCCGTTTTCCCCATACCCCCAGGCCCACTCAGGGACCACATCTGCTGCCCCGTGAATCAGGGTTATGCAAGCATCCAACTGGGAAGTTAGCCGCCCTCACCTCTCATTTCAAATTTGCTTTTGCTCTGATCCTATCTCTGGGACCTTGAACCTGTCTGTGGCCTTTTGGACTTTGTGTTTGTACTTGGTCACTCAGGTGTTTGAACTTTCAATCTCTCTAACAGGCTGTTAGTTGGCCTACCTCTCTAATGCTTGGTGTTCTGTATTGTCTTGAATAGAATTTCCTGCCCCCTAATGTTGGCTTCTTATAATCCAACCCCTTTTAGCTGCCAAGCCTGCCCTATTTCATTCTCACAGGTGAGATTTGGTTCTGTTATTTAAGGAAACATACTTAGATTTTAGTTGGGTTAGGTGAGGTTTACTGAAATCTGAAGAGGAGATTTGGTTTTAGTTTTAGTCTGTGTGACTTTGAACAAGTCAGCTGGTCTCCTTTGGCCAGTTTCCTTTTTGGTAAAATGAGGGATTAAACAAACACTAAAGATTTTATCTACTCTTAACATTCTTCATCTGTTCATCTGGATTAGATAGATTGGAAGTAGAGTCCTGGGATTTTTGAGGAAGAAGGAACTGTGTTTCAGACTCTGAAAACGTCAGCCACATATTAGCTACCTGAACCTTGTCAAGTTATTTAAATTCCCTGTTTCCAAATCTTTATCTATGCATGGAAATATGGGATCTATGTCATAAGGTGGTTATGAGGTGGTTGAAAAAGAAATCTACATAATAAAAGCATAATATGCTAATTAGACTGGACAGCCAACCAACCTTCTGGACATCATTCTGGACGTCCTTCCAGACGAACCTGCGGCGACAGGAGCTGAGGCAGAGGTGGTCAGGGACGATGAGGCAGGCAGGCAGGCGAGTGGTTAGGAGCCAGTGGTCCCAGATTGCAAGAGGATGCAGGCCAGGCTGAGGGACAACCCCCCCACCCCCATGCACAAATTTCATGCACCGGGCCTCTACTGTGTACATAAAAGACTTAAATTGTAGCTATTCAGGCTTTGCGATATATTGTGTAACTGCCCTCCCCCACTTCCTTTTTCATTGCTTCATCCCCTTGTATATTTTAATCCCTTCTGAGTGGCATTTTGGGTGTCAGGTAGATGACAAAATTTGTAACTTGTTTGGTTAGCTTTAACAGTGGAGTATCATTTCCATCCTTAAGAAATTTAGATTGCCCAAAGGTTTTCTAAGCATTGGATTTTAGGAATAGTAAATAACCCATTACTTTTATTAAAACAAGTAGATAATTTAGTCATTTAGTGGGTCTTATAATCTGGGTTATTTGATTTTATTTTTAGGCTCACCTAATTGGACAGTTGTCGTGTATTCAATTCACTTCATGCACTGTGGGTAGTTTGATGCCCATTAAAATAATAATTTAAAAACTGATTTTCTACCTTTCTACTCTTTCCATCTAAGGAGATTCAGAGGCTAGCCAATTGATTATATTGCTTAGGATTTATAATTCACTTGCTCCTTCTATTAAAATTCGAGCAGTTTAAGAGTACTGATTGAGAAATTAATTTTTCACAAATGTAAGATATTAGAAAGAACTTTGATTAAATCAGGAAATTTACTCTCTCACATCATGCTTTGCCTGTTTGAAAACCTTAGCATTGCATAATGTGTTCTTTTACAATGTAAATTAGTATTTCTGGATTAATATCTCAGGGCCATCCCTGAAAACAGGCAGGTAGTGAGCAGAAAGGGAAGATGTATGGTAGGGCTCCTTTTCCGTAAAACAATTTCTCTACTTGAACTTCTCATGCTGTGTGAAAGGTATCCGCAGAGAATTATTCCTCTGGGCCATAAGGATTCAGTCTTTCAGAGTCCCTGAGTAAAATGCAGATTTACTCCTGAGAGCGATAGCATCTTATCTAGGAAGGAGAGTTGCCATTTAGCAGAGAGCAGGACCTAGCAGCAGTAATGCAGAAGCCCAACTGGGAAACTCCCCACACTGCGGTGCACAGTTGGCCTTGCCTGGTTATTGTTCAGGCCAGTTTAGTTAGCAAATATCTTTGCCCTTGAAACAGATTGGTAAGTAGAACTCATATTTCAGCATTAAAAATCATAAAAGAAAATAGGAATCTCAGTAGTGTCTTTTAATAATCTGTTATTTAAGATAGAGGCAAAAATAGGCAAAGACCCTTTGCCTTTACAAGCAAAATAGAGACTTGAATCAATTAAAGGCAATTCAAGCCAAGACAGGTAAACAGAACCTTTGCTACTCTTTATGTATTTTAGAAGTAATTATTTCTTTAAAAAAAATTTTTTTTAATATATATTTTATTGATTTTTTACAGAGAGGAAGGGAGAGAGATAGAGAGCTAGAAACGTCGATGAGAGAGAAACATCGATCAGCTGCCTCTTGCACACCCCCCACCGGGGATGTGCCCGCAACCAATGTACATGCCCTTGACCGGAATCGAACCCAGGACCTTTCAGTCTGCAGACCAATGCTCTACCGCTGAGCCAAACCGGTTTCGGCAGAAGTAATTATTTCTGATTGACCTGGATATATCAGACCCACTTACAGGAAATGTTCCAGTGTCAGCTGATGTGCTCAATTTGCTTTAATAAAGCGCTTTGTAAAATTTATAATTTTGATATTCTTGGTTAGAACGGGATGACTATTTTCACACTGCTTTTTAGACTTCTAGGTTAAAAACTAATAACTTGAAAAACAGAAAAGAAAGAAAATTGGTTATTTCAAGTTTTCATGGTTTCAAAACCATTCATTACCAACTTCCAAACCTGAGCATTTTGTTGGGGAAGGTGTCAGTCTCACTGGAATTCCACCTGTGGAGCCCAGTCCTGTTAACAGCACCGAACAGCCTGGGTGGTCCAACACTTTCTACAATAGTAATATTGTAGAAGACATGGTAAATCCAAATTGAGAAGCCAGAAAAGAGCATTGATTCCCGTGTCTTCGCATATGATAAAAGACATTAAAAAAACACTTTGAGGTTAATTTTTGAGATAAAGTAGAGTAGATGCTCTTTACTCTTCAGGGTGATAGGATGCCTCTGAAAATACAATGAATTTTATGAGCCCTATCCCCTGAGAAGTATATATGTGCCAATCTCATAGTTATGCGTATATTTCATGGGACCCATTGACTCTTGAAGTCCGTCCATCCATGGATCCCTGGCTCACAGGAGTCACCTGTTTTCCCTAAGTGCCATTGCATCTTTACTGTGCTTAACCTATAGGTCAGTTGTAGGCATTACATATTAGGAGAAGGAAAAGATTATTGGGATTAAGTGTATTGTGGGATTATGACCTTTTAACTTTGAAAGTATTTGAGCCTAAAGCATCCAGGGGTCATAGGTCTGAATTTCTATTTGAAGATTCCGCTTAGTGGTGCTCTCGTCCTAGGTGTTTGAATTGCAGGGTGGTTTGTAGTTTAGCAGCAGTTTGGAAATTTACACCTCAGGAGACTTGCTTTGTAATGTTATAAATGTTTGATGCTATTTCTCCCATTTTGTAACTGTCCAATAAATATAAATTAACATCAACACATAATAAAAGTGAAAATTGCTTTCCTGGATTGAATGATAAGGTTTATGCCTGTATTTTTTTGTGTGTGTTTGTGTGTGTGTTTTTAAAATTTTTTCATTAGAATTGATATTCTATTATTTTCTTTAATGTCATTAATTAATAATCATTATAAGGCTTGTTTTTTCTACTCTTGCCCAGTAGATGGTACTGTCAGCTTTATTTTGAAATATTCTGTTTTCAGACTTGATCATTTTAAAATTAATTTCCCCCCAAAAAAGTAAAGTTATTTTTTAGGTCTTTTTCATCCAGTTAACTTTTTGGGATTTCTTAGACTGGCATTTGAAGGTGAACACACTAGGTAAAGTGTACACATTATCTAGAAATTTGTGTCTGAACTATGTAGTAAGGAGAAGACTACTTTCACTTTCCTAAACTAATTCAACTTGTTCAGTCTGGAAAGCATTTAATGATTGTGGACTGTGTGCAGAAAATAATTTAAGGTGCTCTCTTTACCTGGTGGAAAGATATGATTTTTCTGACTTGAGTCTGATGTCGTTTGGTAAAAATAGACACTCTACTGGCATGTTGACCAAATTGAGTGTTTGGATTAGGAAATGGAAGGCCTTTTTAAAAATACTATTTATTTGCATGCTCATATATATTTCTGTGAAAAAATAGCTAAAAATTTTAAGCAAAAAGTTTTATTACCCCTTTGAATTTTAGCTTTCATGCTCTTCATCACTTATTAAAATAAGTAGATCCCTAATGTCATTCTGTTTTATTGGAAAACAGAAGGAATTCAGAAAACTTTGAACTTAATGAATAAGAGTAAATCTGGCTGTTTCAAAGAGGATGGGGCCCCTTCAGCCTTCAAAACACACACACACACACACACACAAACAACAACAACAACAACAACAACTACAACCAGGCTATTACAGAAACATACTATTTGAAGTTTGCCATGCAGAGAGAGGAAATTTTCAATACTTTGGAGTCAAAATGTCCCAAAAATCAAATGCCCTTACTTAAAAAAATAATAATAAAAAAACTTTTAAAAAATTATTAAATTGATTAAGATGACATTGATCAACATGAATAGATAGGCTCCATGTGTGAGTTTTTATGTTACATGGTGCAAATGCCCTTACTTTGTAGTGGTAAAATTGGCCTGGAGCTAGGAGACTTGTTCATAGATATTGCCATCTGTTTTGGAAGACTAGGGGGGGATGTAATGGAGAATTCAGAGAGTAGTGAAAGAAAGGAAATATATCCTTGGTTCCACCTTCCTCCTTCACATCTTGGGATATAATGACATGGATATGCCAGTAATAATTTCTGTCACAGAGATACTCCTTTTCCCCGAACTAGGTGAGACCAATTTATTCCTGGGAAAGCAGTAATTTTGATTATAAAATAAACTGTAATATAAGAAAATAAGTCTTAGCAAAAAACTAGAGGCCCGGTGCATGAATTTGTGCACGTGGGGTCCAGCCGGCCCACCCCAATTGAGACCGGGTTGGGACTGGGCCAACCAGGGAGAGGGGCTGCAGGAGGTTGGCTGGCCAGCCCTGCCCGTTTGGGAAATGTTAGCAGGCCTTGGTGCATGTCATAGCGACCAGTCATTCCGATTGTTCTAGTCATTTGGTACATATATATATATATGTATATATATGTGTGTGTGTATATATATATATATATATATATATATATATATAGTGTTTAAATTGCAGGCCATATAAGTGAGCTGGCTACTCTACAGGATGGTGCAGGAGGGTTGGTTGTTTATATCCTTAAGAAGTACCTTGCTGTTTTCTTCTATCCTTCTTCTCCAAATTCCAAAATTAGTAAAATGCAAAGGGTTTAATATCGGTAGAAGGCTTATCTACACTAATAAAAGAGAAAGATACAAATTGACAGTACCTTCGCAACACCCACCAGCCATTCAGGAGTGAGTATGCAAATTAACCCAATAAAGAGGGCAGGTTAATTTGCATATGTAGGCACCAAGTGGCTGGGGGCTGGATGCTTGCATCATTACCATGGTGATAATGCAGGTGTTCCACACTGACCCAGCTACTCAGGACCTCTGAGCAATGTGGGAAAGCAGTACTGGAGCAGAAAGAGGCAGGGCCAGAGCAGAAAGGCAGTGCTGGCAGCCAGGGAAAAGAAAGCCCATTCTTGCATGAATCTTTGTGCATCGGGCTTCTAGTTTAGATATAATAAAAGCATAATATGCTAATTAGACCAGATATCCTTTCAGACGATCTTCTGGACGAATTCGGGACTGTGACGGAAGCTTAGGTCCCAGGTGCTAGAGGGAAGCCAGTGCCAGCAGTTGGGAGAAAAAAGGCCTACTTGCATGATTTTCTTGAATCCGGCCTTTAGTCTAGATAAAATTGTTTTAATTAATTTTTAACACACTTTTTTTTTTTTTTCTTAAAGACTATATGGGCCAGCCCTTAAATGACTGTTTTCTGAACACTTTTGTAAAATTTTGTCTCTTTGTCTATCATGTTGTCATTAGTTTCGAGTAAATGAATTTGGAGCCCTGGAAGTTATAACAGATGAGAGTGAGATGGAAAGTGTTAAAAAGGCAACAGCTACCACAACTTGGATGGTGCCAACTGCTCAAGAAGGTAAGAATGGGTGCTCTGTATTGCCATTTCTTTCTTTTGAAAGTTTTAAAATAAGAATATCTAAGGTTTTATTGTAGGCTGGAACCTTGAAAATTCTGGGTGATCTTCATGTCACTAGTGCTTAGGTAAATTTCTGTAACGAAGCAGATGTAGAACTAGCATTTATATTTTAAAAATAACCATTAACTGTCTTCTCTCCTAATGCCAGATCTGTCATAGCACCAGGTTAATTGAAAATTATCCAGTAAATCCATGTAATAGCCTGCCCAGGTGATTTAGCCAAAAGCCTGACACTTTTTTTTCTCATCTGCTCCGATGGTTGTAACTAACACCTATATGCTGATGACTCCTAAATCTATATCTCCAGCCCCGACCTCTCCCCCGAGCTCCAGGCCCGTATTTCCACCTGCCTACTGGACATCTCCACCCGGATGTCCCACAGGTACCTCAAACGCCACATGTCTGAAATGCGACTCATTTTCTATTTCTTTCTCCCCTCCCCCCAAACCTGCTCTTTCTTCTGTAACACATGGTTCAGTTGGTAGTAACACCAACTACCCAGTTTAAGCAAGAAATCTAGGAGTCATCCTGAGTGTGTTTTCCCCCAGCCCCATAGCCTGTTACTTAATCCTCTTGGTTTTTTATTTCCTAAATATGTCTCAGATCTGGCCTTTTCTATCTATTGTCACTGCCACTGGCTTAATTTAGGTCCTCACCAACTGTTGCCTGAACTAATGCAGACATATCTGAAGAATCATTCTGCTTCTAATTCCACCCGGTTTACCCTGTACACTGAACTTAGAGGAACTTGTGTAGATTGCCTCTCTGACACTTCACCATTCCTTTTTATCTCTAGCAAAACATACAGAGATCTGGGTGGCCTGCACCCACCTACGTGCTTTATCTCTTTGCTTTCTGTTCTGTTCTTTGTACTTTGTGTTCTGGCAGTGCCAGAGGCACTGAGCTACCTGTAATTCTGCCAAGCACATCCTGTGGCTTTATGCATCCTTGCCTTTGCTCATGCTGTTTCTTCTGGCTGGGATGCTGCTTCTCACTTTGTCCAGTTGGTAAATTCCTCTTTGGCTTTTAAAACCCTGTTGGGGGTTTCTATCAGAAGATCCTCCCCTGACCTCACCCCAGGCCGACTGACTCATGTCTTCCCCTGTACTACTTCTGGAACCTGTTTGTGCTTCAGTTACTGCATGTGTCCCTTCTTATTACAAATAACGGTTCTCTTGCTTGCCCTCTCTTCTAGACTCTGAGCTCTCTTGGGCAAGGGCTGTACTGTCATTTCCAGTGCCTAGCTTAAATTGGTGCCTGATAAATGTTTGCTGAATGAATGATTAGCCTAAGGATTCAGGCGACAGGAAATGTGCGTTCCTGAACCATTTGGATAATTGTGATTTGGGAGATCTGCCACATTAAAAGTAAAACAGAGAGACATTGATTTAACAAATTTAGTAAAACAAAACTACTCATCAAAATGTAATAAACATGAAATAACATGGATAACCCTTTCTTAATTTTGTCAAAGACACACACTTATAAAATAGGATTGTAAAGATTGACGGTTTAATTTTCTGAATTTAGTGACTGATGAAATTTTCTTCATTTTTCTTCAAACGCTAGGGAAAAAGGCTTGGACAGGCTTTTTTGTTCTGCAGAATTGTTTTGTTATGTAAATGATTTGAGTGATTTCTGCCAAGCTCATCCATCCTCTTCTCTCTCCCAAATCCTAGAGTTTGATCATTCATTCATTCAACAAACATTCTTTTATTGTGTTGCTAACAAAATTATTAGAAGAAAAAGTTTAAGTGTATTTTGGAATGTGTTCTGCCATGGTTTTAAATTTTTTTCTCTTCTTTCCATCTTCTAGTTTTTTCAGAGAAGTCTGGGATGCCCTTCAGGTTGAAGGAGCCAGTAAAAGTAGAAGGGCTTTCATTCTGTGAGAACTGTTGTCAGTATGGCAACGTAGATGAATGTCTTTCTGGAGGAAACTATTGCAGCCAGAATTGTACTCGGCATATCAAAGACAAGTAGGTTTTTGTTGCATTCCATCTGCAGAATGGGTTTTAGAGGCCATGGTCATGGCTTTCTGACATCCATCACCCTTCCACGCCCTTCTTTTTTCCAAGACATTTCCTGTGGAAACAATGAATCTCCATCTCATTCCTCGGCCCGGTGTCCTCGGTCATGTCTGATCTGAGTTTTATTGCCTGTGTTTCACCTGCAGTACAACTTCTGCCTCCTTCGTTAGCCATTTGTTTACAAGAATTTGATAGTTTCTCAGCTCAGAGTATTTAAAGTTCTCTGGGTCACATACATATTTTGATGATACTGATGCTTTTTGAAACGCAATTTTGTTTATTTTTGGAGGGTTCTTAGGTAACTCAGCTAAAACTCTACAAATGGAATAAAGCTGATTCAAATCAACTGAATGAAGACCATAGTGAGTAACATAATGAGCTATGTTACTGATGATTTAGGGGAAGACTAAGAAATACGAGAAATGCCCAGCCGGTGTGGCTCAGTGGTTGAGTGTTGACCTATGAACCTGGAGGACACGGTTCGATTCCCAGTCAGGGAATATGCCAGGGTTGCGGGCTCAATCCCCACTGTGGACCATGCAGGCAGCAGCCAATCAATAATTCTCTCTCATCATTGATATTTCTATCTCTCCCTCTCCCTTCCTGTTTGAAATAAATAAACTCAATAAAAATATTTAAAAAAATAAATATGAGAAAGTGACATCAGCTGTGACTGACAGTGGTGTGACTTTGTCATTTGGGGATTATCTGAAAAAATTCAGCTTATTACCAAAAAGTTGTATTTCTTGCATATGCCATAAATAAATGACTTGACATTTATATTTCACTGGAGTTTCCCATGTATCTTAATTAGCACAGTCTTGTGAATTGTCTGTTTTTGTTCGCCAACTGATATTTTACAAAGTTACACTTGGCCTTTTTCATTTGGACTTGTTATTCTTAATAATTGATAAATCTTAGTTTTAAAGTTGACCTGAAAACTGAAATATATTTGAATAATTGATTCTTTTCTTTTTTTTATTTTATTGATTTCAGATAAGGAGAGTGAGAGCGAGAGCAAGAGTGAAAGCGAGAGGGGGGGGGGGGGGGAAACATCAATATGAGAGAGAATCATTGATTGTCTGCCTCCTGAACACTCCTTACTGGGGATCTAGCCCACAACTGGTCAAGTGCCTTTGACCGAAATCGAACCCAGGACCCAACAGCCTGCAGGCCTACGCTCTATCCACTGAGCCAAAGCAGCCAGGGCAATAACTGATTCTTTTATTAGTATGGGTGGCAGATGTGAAAGACAAATTATTTTAAACTTGTGAGAATCTGTTTCACATATAACAGTAGTACTGGTCCCCTTTTGAAATTAACATAGGAGCTAATTTCCATTTTCTAACCTTGACAGTGTCACAATACATGATAATGGTTTGACATGTACCTTATCTATGATAGTCTAATGTCTACACATTTATCCTGGTGGTTAAATATTTTTCCTTTGGAGGGTAATGTTTTAAAAGAATTCGTATTGATACTCATCATGTAGATGTTTGATAGGTATTGTTTCCTGTCATTATTTTGGGTTTACAACAGCAGAGATCAGAAGGAGGAAAGGGACCTAGGAGAAGACAATGAGGAGGAAGACCCTAAGTGCAGTCGGAAGAAGAAACCGAAGCTATCTCTGAAAGCAGACTCCAAGGAGGATGCAGAAGAGAGAGATGATGAAATGGTTAGTATCTCTTAGGGGAATACAGGGGTGTTTCCTAAGTGGGTCGCATTATGGTCAAAGGCACTAGTTCTGCAGCTAGTTACTGACTTCAAATGCTGTTTCAGCAGTTCTCTGTGTTACCATCAGCACGTTATCTACCTACCTTCTCTTTGTTGCTGTCCTCATCTCAAAATGGGAATTGTAAATAATAGTACCCCTTTCTTAGGGTGAAGAAATGGGAATTCATGTGCTTATTGCTGGAAAGAGACAACAGTAGACCTTCAGTTTTGACAATGAACTGTTAGTTTCTTTCACTAGCAAGATCCCAGGCCCATTTTGGTAAATTGCAGACAGATCTCATCAAAACTATGTGAATAGAAAGAAAATGGCACATCAGTATCAGGTATATTTAGGGAATACTAATTCAGAGTATTCGAGTTAAAACATAAATATCTCATCCCTCAAGCATATATTAATGGTTCTTAGGAAAAAAAGAACTTGAAGGTCTTGAGGCATTTTCCTTAAGATCAACATTGAATAACCTTTATTTGCTAGTCACTATTCTAGGAGCTGAGAATGCGGGATGAACAACACAGCAGCAGGACAGGTGTCTACTCTCGGGGACATTACATTCTTACTAAGGGAACATATAATAAAATAAACAAGAGAAATGCCAGCCTGTGATGCATGCTTTGCTGAGAATTACAATAGGGCTTGAAGATTGGTCATTTTGAGTTGGGTTGTCAAGGAGGCCTCTCAGAGAAGGTGGCATGAACAATGTGATCTGAATCCTAAAAGAGGAGTCAGCTTGGTGAAGTTAGAAGTGAGGAAAAGCTTAAAGAAAAGTTTCTACAATAATGTGGAGCATGTTTTGTTTGAGGAAATAAAAGAAGACAATACAGTTGAGAGTGGAGTCAGATGAAGCTAAAGAGGTCCAGGCATGGAGGGCCTTATGGTAAACCAGAGTGATGGGTTTTCATTGTGTTCTGGGTGTGATGGGATGTGATGGGTAGCCATTGGAATGTTAAAGACAAGGAGACACTGTGATATTATTTATATTTTAAAATGATCACTCTTGCCGAAACCGGTTTGGCTCAATGGATAGAGCATCGGCCTGCGGACTCAAGGGTCCCAGGTTCGATTCCGGTCAAGGGCATGTACCTTGGTTGCGGGCACATCCCCAGTGGGGGGTGTGCAGGAGGCAGCTGATCGATGTTCCTCTCTCATCGATGTCTCTAACTTTCTATCCCTCTCCCTTACTCTCTGCAAAAAATCAATAAAATATATATTTTTAAAAATGATCACTCTCGCTTTGCCAGGTGAGAGCAAAAGTGGAATGAGAGAAACCAGTTAGGATTTTATTGTAGTAGACGAGCTAAGAGGGCTGTGTAGGTAGGTTTGTTGGTGTGTGAAGGAAAGAGAAGAATCAGAGCTAGCTCTTAGGCTTTTGGCTTGAACCATTGACTGGATAATGATGCCATTTACTGAAGACTGGAAGGCAAGGCTGGAGTATAAAATCTGGAGTTACTTGGGCATCAGGAGTTTGAGATGCTTATGAGACATCCATGTGAAAATCCAGTAGGCAGGTGTATGCATGAGTGTGGAAAATGGACCGGGGATATCTGGTAGGAAGATGACCTTTAAAACTTAGGGAAGAGATTACATAGAGACCAGAAGAGGGCTGGGTTGGAGGAGACACTAGCAAAGGGGCTAAGAAGAGAGGCCGGGGAGGTGTGAGGAATATTAGAACAGAGAATCCCAGGAGCTAAGAGAAGTAAGTGTTTCAAGTAGGCGGGAGCAGGATCCCTGCTATCCTACAGAGTTATTCTTGGAAATACTTTTATTTTGTGATGACCTTAGGCCAAAAGCAGCATAGCTCTCAAATTACATATATTCTTTCTTCCCTTAAAACTTAGGAAGTGAAATTGAAGAAAGTACAAAACAAACAATGCTTTCTGATAGCTCTGTAATTTTTTATTGGTGCCAGTTTTACGAACTTTGGGGGGGGAAAAAAATCATAGTTTTCCTCTCTTATTGTAGGAGAACAAACAAGATGGGAGAATCCTGAGGGCTTCACAGAGAGCCCGAAGGAAAAGACGCGCGGATTCAGCTGTGTTAAAGCAGGGTGAGTCGATGAAGAAAAAGCTTTCCTTGTAACTTTATGAAACTTAAAATATTCCAGGCGGGTAGACATTTTAGTCTTAGTTGTAATGCACATTAGGGCAGCCAAGGTATTACTTTGGGATTTCTCAAATTAAATTTTATCAATAAAGATTATCGTTTTGAAGAAGTAGATAAGGGAAACATGGAACTTGGTAACGTTTGAATAGTGTCTGGGCAGACACGAGAAAACCTTACTTTATTTGAGCATCAGTAGGTTTCATCTTTTTCTGCACTTTTGTTAACACCTATGTTCTTGTTCATTTCCTAAGAGTGTGAGTGTTAAGTTTTTAATGTTTTCTCTCAAACCACAGTCTCCTAGTATGGAACCTTGTTTTTTTTTTCATTGTTCTTCTGGTAACACTTTATCCTCAGGAGGAATCCAGTCCTCAGGCCCTTCCCTTTAGTACTTGAGCGGATGAACTCCCATCTTGTTCAGCATGGAACTCACGTCATTTCCCTACTGGGCTTTATCCCCCTGACCTGCCACATCGGCCTGACCAGCCCTTCACGTCAGGTCACTCCACTTGCACAGCTCTACTTCCGCCCTGCCCAGTCATGTTGTCCCTACACATCAGGACTGTGACCCCAAGGCTCCTCTTCTGGGATGGATGCATTCCTTGCCTGTTCATCTTTTAAGCTTTGAAAGAAAAGCGTTTGAAACATTTCAACCTGCCTCAAGCACACAGCCTAACTTTTACCATTGGGGGAGATGGCTTCTAGTTTATGTCACCGAGATGAAAGGGAATAAATTCTCAGTTACTCACACTTTGCCTCGAAGATGTCGTTAATCTCTCTCTCCCTTCACCTTCGTTTCTATTCTCAGGGCCCTGTCTCCTGTGGGACCTTGATCCTTTAGTCATTTATTTTTACTCCTTAGCAGTTCAGACTTTTTTTCTCTTTCTGAGATCCACCTTAGCTGGTTCAGATCTCATCCTTAAAATACCTTTCCCCCAATTTTGTAACCTATCCAGCTATTGCATTTTCCTTTTATTTTCCATTATTTGTCAAGTTAATCCCAAATAAAATTGATTTTAGCTGGCACCATATCTTTACCACATATATTCTTTTGCTGCTCAAAATCTGTCCCTCACTGAAACGATTTTCTTCCCTTTCACCCTAATTAGTAGCCATTCCCTAACCACTCAGTGCACTGGCCGTTTTTAGTTTTCAACGTCTAGTCCTCTTACTTTTGGAGCATCCTGCCTCTAGAAGCACCTGCTTCCTGTAGCTTCCACAGTACCCTTCGTCGTGGCTTTCTACTGCGTCTTCTTTCTTTGCTCTGAGTTCTCTTGAGTCATTCTTCTACCCTCATCGCTGCAGATAACACTGCAGTTCACTGCGTGGCTCCCATTTCCTTGGAAGAGGAGCCAAGGGAGGAGACTGAGAACCAGCTGTGGTAGGAAGAGAAGAGCCAGGCCTTGTGAGCAGTTAAGGAAGTGAGCGTTCACAGTGCACATCTGTGAACGCTTTAGACTTGGAGATTCTGTCATTTTAATCTCACTTGCCTTTCAGGTTTGCCTCCCAAAGGAAAGAAGGCCTGGTGCTGGGCATCCTACCTGGAAGAGGAGAAGGCCGTGGCCGTGCCAACGAAGCTCTTCAAGGAGGTGCGGCCCCTCTGGAGCTGCTGCACTGTCTGGCGTCAGCACTCCCATGTCTGCTGTCTGTTTAGCACCTGTGACTTGGGATGGTTTCTCAAGCATGTTGTTTTGCATGTGTGTGCTTATGTGGAGGGGTATCTGCAGGGACAGCTAGCGTTAACACATGACACCGCCCTCTCTCCCAAGCTGTGTGCGTAGGCACACCGCTACACACATGCTCTTTTCTCTCAGCACTTACCCAGCTTTCACTCCATTTTAAGAGGTATTTTTGCTACTGCTAAAAAAACGAGTAGATAAAAGAAAAACTGGTGTGAAATTTCATGTCAACATGGTAGCTTCGGGAGAATAGAATGAGTTACTGAGGTTTACGTAATATCACAACAAAAATCTAAAAATGAATTACCGTATTTTTCGGACCATAAGACGCTCCGGACCATAAGACGCACCAGTTTTTAGAGAAGGGAAATGAAGAAAAAAAGATTCTGAAACAAATAGTGTCCTAAAATATTTTATGTGCATTAAAACCCAACATCACAGTCATAAACACATGTAATCAACCCTGTAAAGTAAACAGCAGCATTTAGAACCATTTTAGAGCCGGGCAAGCACACAGACCACACAGAGCCGGGCAAGTAAAAAAACTTTTTTTTTAAAGTATATGTGTAGGCTATATTTGGACCATAAGACACAGGGACTTTTTCCCCCCACTTCTGGGGGGGAAAAAGTGCGTCTTATGGTCCGAAAAATACGGTACTATATTTTATTAGCTACAGCGAAGATACAGTATCATAAGTAATTCAAAATCAGTTAAAGGTATAGTTCTAGCTAGGAGCTGCTGCACCTGGGCTAACGGGTCAACAAACTTTTCCTGTAAAGGGCCAGAGAGCAAGCATTTTAGGCTTTGTGGGCACCTGGGCTCAGGCGCTCCAGCTCAGCTCTGTAGCTGTCTGGAAAGCAGCCATAAACAGGATAGAGGTGAACGAATATAGCTGTATTCCAGTAAAACTTCACTTACAGATGGTGGCCTAGATTTGACCCGTAGAATATAGTTTGTTGACTCTTGCCTTAAATTATATAATATTAAATCACACTATATAATAAGTCTGCCATCAATATATTGTTAAATATGTAGGAACTTACGGATTTTTAAAAAAGTATGACAAGTAAATATTAGAATGAGTTCTCTACAGTAACATTTAATTTACTAGTAAGCAGTATTCTATATAATTATTTACTGTAACTTTGTTCCTTTGAGGAATAACCTTTTTACATTAAAAAAAAAAATTATGTATAGGCCTGGCCAGCGTGGATCAGTGTTTGAGATAAGCAATGCATGTAAATCCAAATCCTCTCCTCCTCTTAAACAAATGATAACATATGTCACTCATATTGTTGTTTGGACTTTGCTTTTTTTGTTAACTTAATTTGGAAATTATTCCATCTCAGTTCATTCTTTCCTTTATCATCCTGTGATATTAATGCATAAAATGCAGTCTTACATCTGTTCCATAGTAATTTAAGCTGCCCTCTATGGATTGACATGTATATATTAACATACACGACACACACATATATGATATATATGTCAACCTTTATGGGACACCTTAAATTATTATAGATTAGACATAAAAGGAATACTATATGTACATATGGAAGATAGATACACAAATCTTTTGCCATGTAAATGTCTTAATGAATAATTGTATACACCTGCCATTTTGCACATGTGGTTATCTCTGTTGGATAATTTCCTAGAATTAAAATTGCTGAGCTGGAGAGAGTGCTCTTTTTAATAGATATCATGAGGTTGCAATTTACTATACATCCTTACTAGTGATGTGTGTGTGCATCTGTTTCACTGGAGTCTTGCCAACAGTGTTATCAAACTTTTTTTTTTTTTATCATTACCAACCTGACAGGTGAAATACATTTTTTGTGTAATTTTTATATGACTTTTATTAGAGTGAGGTTGAGCATCTTTTCTAATATGTAAAACATTTAAATTTTCTTTCTGTGACCTCTTTGTAGTCTTTATCCATTTTCCATTGGATCATGAGGTGATCCTTGTCTTTTGAATTTTTACAAGCTATTTATTTGGTTAAAGACTATTTAAGAATGGTAATTACTCATAATTTTGATGAATCATTCAAGATAAAAATACTAAAACTGCTGTCATTTTTTTCATTGTAGTATCAATCCTTTCCATATAACAAAAATGGGTTTAAAGTTGGCATGAAATTAGAAGGCGTGGACCCTGAGCATCAGTCCGTGTACTGCGTCCTCACAGTGGCTGAGGTAAGCTTTATTTTTAAAATAAAATGGTGACTGTGGAGTTTTCATAATGGGAAAAGATGCTTTGAAGATATGCAAAGCTCAGGCTGCTCCCAGGTCATTACCTGAGAAAGAGGATCTGTGGACTTCTCTGGGTCTGCACCAGCCTTGGTCTGGCAGAATGCCACCGTGTGTGGCGCTTCGTGAAGGACAAGCAGCCGGCCCGCAGTGTGCAGCGGTGCAGGTGCTCTGGGACTGCAGGAGCCGTGCGGCTGCTGTGCTGGGCCCGCTGCTTCCATGCCAGCCCCCCCCACAGTGATGCGCGAATGAGAGGGGATGTGTACATGTGGGAAAAGTGTTTTTCATCTCATATCTATCCATGCTCCTGAGTAACCAGGGATGAAGCCAGAACACTGCAGCCCAGCCTTTCCCATGTACATAAGAGCCTTGTCCTTTGGATTTTGTCGGGTGTTTGCTGCTGTTAATGAGGGTGCTTTGATGAACATAAGTGGTATCATGCTGGATGCACATGCACACCGCATTCTGCATGTGTTTTTTGTTTTTTAATTCATCAACCGTCACCTATTCCAGGTTTGTGGATACCGGATAAAGCTGCACTTTGACGGGTATCCTGATTGCTATGACTTCTGGGTTAATGCAGACGCTCTGGATATTCACCCAGTTGGGTGGTGTGAGAAAACTGGCCATAAGCTGCACCCTCCCAAAGGTATTGTCACTTTTTGGTTTCATATTTTAAATTCTATAAAAACATTTTTACCTGTTGATTTAGAATTTTTAAGAATTCAAGCTCTATAATTCAGATAGGTCCAAATTCAAGCTTGATGAACAAATACATTCATTAGAGTGAAAGGAAAAAAAAGTAGAATTCTATTCAAGAGAATAAACTATATCCTTCTCATTTGCATATAAAATAACATTTGCAAGATACTTAATTTTGACTTTATTTTGAGTACAAAAAAATTTTAGCTAAAGATTGAAAAAGCTGATTTGAAAAATTACTTCTAACTTGTTTACAAAATTAAGTTTACTTATTCATATTTTAATGTATATGAAATTTCAAGAAATCATGCATTGAATATATAGATGACAATATTTAGCAGATTGGAAAAGACAATATAACACTAAAAATTGGTTTAGACGGTGGTTGAACTAATAGTAATTTTTTTTTTTATAATTGAGTTCTTTACAGTCTGCCAATAATTTTGCCTGTTTCATGTTTTCAACAGATACCATCTTTCAGTCCATTTCTATGTTTAATAATGGCATATTTCCTTCCTTTTTCAGCTATTGCAATAGTAGTGTTAATATGATACAAAAGATCCCTGTTACTAGTTTGATATTTTGGACCTGTCTCACAGTTATTGTTTTTTAATAGCATCCTTTGGTTGTAAGTGAAAAATTGATAGCAGGATGGCATTTTCTTTTCTTTTCTTTTTTTTTTTTAATTATTTTTTTTAAAATATATTTTGTTGATTTTTTTTTTTGCCCTCTTCCCTCCCTCCCATACACACCCTCCCTCCCCAGAGTTTTATGTCCATTGGTTGTACTTATATGCATGTATATAAGTCCTTCGGTTGATCTATTATCTCCCCCAGATCTCCCTCCCCTCCCCACTGTAAATTGACAGTCTGCTTGTTGCTTTAGTGTCTCTATATCTATCTTTTGGTTCATCAGTTTATAATGTTCTTTATTATCCATAAATGAGTGAGGTCATGTGGTGTTTCTCTTTCATTGATTGGCTTATTTCACTCAGCATGATGCTCTCCAATTCCACAGGATGATATTTTCAAATAGCTGAGGGATTAAACAAAAACATACAAAAAAAAAATGAGGGTAAAAAAGAAAATCTGTAAATCTTTAGATGAATTGACTGCATATATATGGTGACTTATTAGCTGTTCTTTTCATGCTTTTTAATGGGAGTAGCAGAGAACTGATAAGATGAAATGCTAAATTTCCTTTCTGTAAGGAAAGGTTGGCTTTATCAACATTAAGCATGAAATTGTGAAAATTAAGGCAAGAACATTTCCATTCTAATTTACCAACATGCTTACTACATAAATCTTGAATTATCAATCCTGTGGTGATAGGCCAAAAAGATTTAATCTGTTGTATTACTATTTTTCCAGCTTCCCATTAGTTCTTACAAGTTAGTCTCCTGAAATAGAATAGGTAAGGGAAAAATAAAGAATTTGACTACTCCAGGTCACTACCCTACTGTTCTACCTAAATATTGATAGAAATGGCCCGGTAATAAAAGAGCGTACCTGAGTATAATATGTATTTACTTCCTTACACCTTTTCGTTATATCCATTACTATTTATTCAGAATTGAAAAGAAAATAGTATAATTTGTTGTAAATAAACACAACCTGTGTATGAAAATGCATAGTTGTGAATTATGATTTAAATTTTTTCTGTTTAAAAAAACAACTTGGCCCTGCCAGTGTGGCTCAGTGGTAGAGCATCAACTTATGAACCAGGAGGTCACAGTACCATTTCTGGTCTGGGCACTTGCCTGGGTTATGGGTTCGATTCCCAGGGCAGCCGATTGGTGATTCTCTCTCACCAATGTTTCTGTCTCTTTCTCCCTCTCCCTTCCTCTTTGAAGTCAATAAAAGTGTATTTTAAAAACAATGACTTGATCTGATTTTCGCATGTTTGAATTACAGATAAAAGTGGGAATAGGCCCCAGCTGGTTTGGCTCAGTGAATAGAGAGCATCGGCTTGTGGACTGAAGGGGCCCAGATTCAATTCCAGTCAAGGGCACATGCTCAGATTGCAGGCTCAGTTCCCAGTAGGGGGCGTGCAGGAGGCAGCCAATCAATGATTGCCTCTCATTGTTGATGTTTCTATTTCTTTCTCCCTACTTGAAATCAATAAAAAAATATATTTTTTTTAAAAGTGAGAATGGAAAACTAAGTGTGAAATATTTTGCTATGTCACTAAGTCTGTTTATATGTTCTTGCTCTAGGTTATAAAGAAGAAGAATTTAATTGGCAGACTTACCTGAAGACATGTAAAGCTCAGGCTGCTCCTAAGTCATTATTTGAGAATCAGAATATAGTAAGTACATCCAAAATACTTTTTCTTAAAAAAAAAAAAAAAAGTGGCTGTTGTGTGTAGGATAAATTCCAAGTGAGAGCAAGAAACTATAACAAATTTTATTGCTTTGGTAAATAGAGTACTCTTACCTTAATTAAACTTTAAAATTAGCTTAAAATCTTCCTAAGTAAATTTCTTTTTTATAGCCATATCATGGTTGTCTTTTTTATTGAATAGTAGCAGGCAACATAGTACAAAATGCAGGTGTAATTTACAGTTAAGGTGCATAAAACAGTAAATAGATGGGATACTTTATTGTTACTGTCATCTGCTCAGGGTACTGCAGCAGTGGGATTCACATGGTGAGACGAATGGAGCCCTGTTTGGATTTGTATGCTAGAGACTATGATTCGCCTTCACCCTAGCTTCTAGCTTTATTTTCAGTGTAACGGCAGCACCATCCGATGTGTGTGTGTGTGCTTTCTCCTCCTTGACCTGTATTACTACTTCCCATTACATTTGATATCTCTGAGGAGGCCTGATACCTTACATTCTTCTTCCTGGCCCAAGTTCTGATCAAATTGGAAAGAACAGAGAGCAATCAGGTAGAAAACCAAAATATTGTCTTTGTAACTGGTAAGGGTTCAATTACATGCCCTATAACTGCTATCAAATGAGATTACTGGCCCTTCCTGCCCCACCACCCAAACCCAGGAGCATTGGACCAGGGCATACACACCCTCCCCCACTTAGAGTGTGACCTGTTCCTTCTTGCAGATCCATTAGTCAGGTAACAGCGAGTGAGAATGTGGAAAGGCAGTAATGTTTCCGTAACATTCCCTCCAAATGACAACATATATGAGGATTAGAGACGTTCTTCCCAGCCCCCGTCCAAATGCCCTCCATTTGGGAAATGATTTTAACCTGTTGTTTTCAGCATCAATGGAATGGCTACAAGATTCTCTGATCAAACTAAACATAAGCCTGGTCGAATTAGAGAACTGAAGGGCGTGTGTAATAGAAATCAAATGAGCCACGTTAATATTTTAAAGCAGCTTAATTGAGAGGGTAGCTTAATTGCCGGAATGTAAATTCTGCATTGTTAAGAGGTATTTTCTGTCAAGACAAGGGCAGTTAGGTGGAAACCCCAGTGGCCTGCTCTCACTACTCCCAAGTTTCCTCTACCCTGCCTGCTTCTCTGATGAAGACTTCAGTTGGGGATTTGATTAACTGCTTTGCACCATCTTCTTAAATTCTGTGCTTTGCTAAGCACACAACTTAATCTTGGGTTATGTGATTGGTATCTAAGAAGCAATTAATTTTTGTAGTTTCCTCTACCTTAGAATACTCAAATATTTATGGTCAGGTCTCTGATAGATAATTTCAGGACTTAAAAGTATGCTACAAAGTATCTTTGTAGCATCAGTGACTGCTTCTTCAATTCAGCCAGGACGAAATTCTAACATTTTCAGGTACCGGGCCATCTACAGTTTGTAATGACAGTGGTGTATTTATACTAAAAAGAGAGACAGCATCTATTTTGCTTAAAATAATTAAGATAGTGTCAGTATTTTTCAGTCTAGTCAGAAGGATTTTATTGTTATTTATTTTTAATTATATTTTTATTGATTTCAAAGAAGGAGGGAGAGGGAGAGGGGGAGAGAGAGAGAGAGAGAGAGAGAGAGAGAGAGAGAGAGAGAGAGAATGAATCATTGACTGGCTTCCTCCTGCATGCCCCATAATGGAGAGCAAGCCTGCAACCCAGGCATGTGCCCTGACCTGGAATTGAACTGTAACCTCCTGGTTCAAAGGTCAGCGCTGAACCATTGAGCCACACTGGCCGGGCAGAGGATTTTATTTTTAGATGGTCAGTAGGATTGTGATGGGCATAATTGATGCCCAAGTACACTTCCTGAGAATACTATTTTCCCTCACAAAAGATTATAAGGAAAGTTTACATTTTGCTGCCCTTTACGCACTAAATTTTATTGAATTTTTTATTATCTTGGGTCCATGTCCCAGATGGCTAATGATTTGTGGATTTCCTTATATTACAAACTATTGAATAAATAGCTATATATATATATTAACAGCCAGTTCATTTATGAAGATGACCTACTTTCAGTACTCTTTTGAGAAATCTTTTCAGAAGTGGGAGTGAATGTGTACTGACTCACACACATTTTTAACTTACTAAGTGCGTATTTCGTGTGAAATAACTTTCATTGTTGACTCTATAATCAAGGAAGAGAAAAACAGAAAGGGAACTTGGTGAATCAGACTTGCCTAACTAATATAATCGTCTAAGGTACCAAAACACACGTTAATATTAATTAAACTCTGAGAGGCTGAGGGTGTTTTAGTTTTGAGTTCCCCATAGTTAATTGGGACAGTTAATTGGGTGTAGCAACAGGGCATTTTTCTTACTGCTCCTGTTGGAAAGTGACCCTGCTGTAAAGCTGGTGGTTGAGTCTTCAATGGTGTGGAGACAGCTGGTGGGTGCCAGGCCTTCACCCAGAGGTGCAGGGAGGGTGTGGGCTCACCAATGAGTGTGTGCTTATCGCTAATTAAATCTGTGTGTTTCATAGACCGTGATCCCATCAGGCTTCCGAGTTGGAATGAAGCTTGAAGCTGTAGACAAAAAGAACCCTGCATTTATCTGTGTTGCTACGGTAACAGATATGGTGGACAATCGTTTCCTGGTACATTTTGACAACTGGGATGAGAGCTATGACTATTGGTGAGCCATTTTTCCATTGCAGTGTGTGCTTTTTCTAATTTAGTGTTTATCCAGGTAAACCAGGTGCATGGTTTAAAAACAATTGCAATCAAAGTCTGAACAGAAAATAATATGCTGCCCCACTCTTTTCTACTTCAGATCTTTAAACTTTTTCCTGTACCCTACGGCATGCATTTCTAAATAACACCCTTCAGTTCTACTTTGTGATTTGCCTTTTAGTTGGCTTTCTGCTGTGGAAGTGCGGTTTGCACACGCCATCCCAACAAATGCTCACACGTGACCCACATAGACTCACAGTTTCCTCCTTCAGGCTTGGGTGTCATCCCTTATTTTTTAGAAAACTATTTTCATCTATCTCTCATATTTTTATGTCTATAGCTAATTTAACCATTTACAATGACTGAATACAAATATAGTAATTGAGGAATATTGTTTTTAATCCTTATTGTGTTTGGATATACTACATAATGTAGCAGGAGCAACATATTATAAAATTATAATTATAAAATAAGTAGTGGCCTGGTGCACAAAATTTGTGCACATTAAAAGGGGATTAATTAGAGGAAATATTTTAATATTGCTATTTGCCTTTTTTCTGTAATAGAAGTGTCAGAGATGAAAGAACATTAGTAAAATGTATATGAAAATCGCCCTCCTATCAGAGTCTGGGGCACGCCAAGGGACCCAAAGTCAAGTCCCCGCCACCACCCACACGGGCTTCAAAAACACAGGAGATCCAGACCCGGTCGGCCCCACTCCCATCAAGCCCCTCTGGGTGGCCTCAGGTCCCCCATCAAACCCCACCAAGCAGGGAGTGCAACCTCAAGTCCCCCAGCCCAATGCTGAGGCCGGGGTCGCAGCCTGAGGTCTCCTGGCCAGGCACCAGTGTGGGTGGCATAACGTAAGATCTCCCAGCCTGGGACCAGGGTAGGGGGCCACAGCCTGAGGTCCCCCATCAAACCACTCAGGGCAACGGACGAGGCCTGAGGTCCCTCTCCCTGGCCAGGCGCCATTCAGCCCCAGGGCCCTGCTGTTCAGTTGAGACTTTACTGTGTCTCAGCTAATTTGCATATTCCTCTATTATATAGATAGATTATATAGATAGGTAGATTATAATAAAGTCATTATATTTTGATTAAGTAATTGAAGCAATGATTTTCCATATCCAATTCATGTTCATTGATCATTATAATTTAGTTTCCTGATGAAAGGCATTTCTGAAGTGTTTAGTTCCTTCTAGAGAAAACTTGAAATGATAAAATTTTAGAGAAGTGATAGATATCTCGGATTTTTAGATACTCATCAATTTTACTGCATTAGTTTTAAAAAGAGATAGTGAAAATAATTTGCTATTCGATTTAAAAATCCTTTTTATTATATGTTACATATGCTTTCTATAGAATTTTTAAGATATAGATAATTGTGTGTTTACATCACAGAATCAATTATTTTTGAACATCTGGTGTGTTTTTCCGCAGATTTTTTCTGCAAAGCATAATAATCTTTCCTCAGTGGATATCTTTTTATTCAGTTTGCAATGAAAACCTTTGTTGAAATATAGACCATTTCAAGCATGTACAAAAGTAGAGTAATAGAGTGACCCTCCTGCCACCATTACACAGCACCAGCACTTACCAATTTATATCCACTCATGTCTTCTCTGCATTCTTACTCCTAAAATCTCAATTCCAGGATTGTTCTAAAGCAACTTCCAGATATCATAACATGTCATCTGTGAATATTTCATTATGTAACTTCTAAAGATAGATTCTTCTTTTCTAAATATATAATGCTATAAATGCTATCATGTTACTAAATGCAAGCATTCCCCCCAATTGTGTTGGGCTTTATTTTAGTTCAATGGTTCTAGGTTCAAATGAGGTGTATACTTTGTGATTTCTTGGATTTGCCTCTTGGATCTTTTTAAAAAAAAAAACATGTTTTTATTGATTTTAGAGGGAGAGGTAGGGAGGGGGGAGAGAGAGAAACATCAGTGTGAGAGAGAAATAGTAATCAGCTGCCTCCTACTGGTGATGGAGCCTGCAACATGTGCATATACCCTGGCCAGGAATCAAACCAGCAACCTTCGATATAGGTTTTGGCACTCAACCAACTGAGCCACACCAGCAGGGCCTCTTGATCTTTTCTCATGTATATATTCTAATTCCTCTGTATCTTTTCCTTCTCCTTATAACTATTACTGAAGAAGCCAGGTTGTTTATCCTATTGAGTCTCCCACAGTCTGAGTTTGCTGATTGAATCCTTGTCATGTAGCTTACCATGTTTTTCTGTTCTTCATATTCCCTGTAAATTGGTGGTTTTGTTTCACTTAAAATTATCTGTATTGATCTTCAGTGAGTGAATGGGTGAGAAACTGTAAATTTAGAAATAATGTCAGTCTGTCCCTTCTGGGTCATATCCGTGTCTCCTCACCTGTGTTTGATGTGCTGTGATGATGACAGTACCAATGTGATGACGAGGGTCTAGTCCTTGGCTTACTAAATGAAACTTTAAAGCAATTATTAGAGGGATTGAGCAAAAAAGAAAAAAATAAGAGAGAACTCATTGTCATGGACAGCAGTGTGGTGATTGCAGGGGTAAGGAGTGGGTGGAGGTGGAAGAGGACAGAGAGAGGATAATGATGATGGAAAAAATAAAATGATTTGTTGAAATGAGAGCTTTTTGTTTTTGAAGTTCTGATTCATTTAGGGAGAATGGTTTTGTTTTTAGGTTTTGCCTGAATGTTGAGTTATTTTTGTGGTCTTATAAGTATTACAGGGTTTTTAAAGTGTAAGTTTATTTGATATAAGATCTATTCAATATACTCCTGGATAATAGTGATGAGGAAATCTAGAAGAATTTTTCACAGTCACTTTTCTTTGATGCCTAGAGAGTAGAAGAAATCAGTCCTTTTTTAGAAAGAGCAGAGAAAAAAAGAATGATCTCTCGTAGCTCTGATTTTGTACTTTTAAGAGCACAAAATAATCATTTTTAGGATGGAATGTACTCTGAAAATTTATACTTTTAACTGTTTATATGAAGTTATATTTTGTTAATTATCAGAAAAAGAATACAGTGTTCTCTTCATCAATATGCAATTGAGGCATATTGAAAATTGCTTAAGTGCACTGGAATTTCTCCAGCCTTATTAAATACTAGAGGCCTGGTGCAATTAAATACTACAGTCTGGGAGCCCTCAAAGGGCGGGAGGCAACCTGGTGATCAGGGGAATGCAATGTCCACATCACACCTCTGCTGCTGCCACTGCTGGCAACACAAGCCTCAGCCAGCCCTGGTTACCTGAGCCTCGTGTGACCCTGGGCGGCTGGGCAGCTGCCATCTGAGGCTTGCCTGCATCTTGGGCAGGCCCTGGAGGGCTGGGGGGCTGGAGGGCTGAGGGGATGGGGACTCCAGAGGCAGGTGTGCGGAGTGGCCGGAAAGAGGGGAGCTATCCAGACTGCGGACAGTTAGGGACACCAGGCTAACCTTAAGATAAGATAAACTCTCTTCACTCTCAGCCTGGAGAAAATGAAGAAATTAAAGGAAAACACACTAGGATAATGAGATGGCATCTTTATATTTTCATATTGGGATTTTTAGTTTTTGGGTGGTTTTTTGTTTTTTTGTTGTTTGTTTATATATTTGTTTTAGAGAGAGTGTAAGGGAGAGGCAGAGAGAAACATCAATGTGAGAGAGACACATGGATTGGTTGCCTGCTGCATACGCCCCGACCAGGGCCAGGGATTGAGCCTGCAGCCGAGGTGCATGCCCTTGCCCAGAATCAAACTGGGGACCCTTCAGTCCACACGCCAACACTTTATGGCTTACCCCTGGGTTTCTGTTTAATTCTGTTCAGATTCTAGGGCCCAATCGAGTTTTAAGAAGGAAATGCATAATACTGAAAACAACTGGTATGGGGAATGGGATTGGAAATGAATTGGGGATCAAAGGAGGACTCGCTGACTCAGCCTCATGAGGTCCAGGGGCTGGTAGTAAGACGGAGTGATGGAGGCTCTGCAGAGTCAGCACATGTGGGAGCCAGGAAAGTGTGGCACCAGAAAGTAAACTGACAGTCTCGTGCTCTGGGTTTAGGGAGTGGGAGAGCCAAGTGTCCTGTGTTTCTTCAAGAAGCTAAACCATTATTGCTTGGAATGAGGACTTTGATGTTTTCCTTATGTAAGTGTCTTGAAACTGTTTTTGTCTCTCTGCCTAGATCTGTGGAGCCCAGTGCTGTGTGCATTGGTTTTATTTAGCTTTTGGCTGTGCCCGATAAAACCAGGGTCTTTTTCTTTCCAACATGAGGACTTGGTGGAATCATTTAACCTCTTTCTGTTTCCATAAAATAAGGATCTTAATGTCTGCTCACTCTATCCTTATAGTATAAACATGGATTTTTTCATAAATTATTATTTCCATTATTATCTGCCAGTCTGGGTCTGATTGGATCTTAGCAGCCTTCATTCTTGATTAATTTGCACTTACATGTGAAATGGACTTCAAAAATTTTTTGAAGTGGATTTCTTTAATGATATACTTAACACTCTTCCTCCCCCCAAAAAAAAACAAAAAAAGGAAGGAAGGAAGGAAGGAAGGAAGGAAGGAAGGAAGGAAGGAAGGAAGGAAGGAAGGAAGGAAGGAAAATTAAAGATTTTTTACATTAGCTGTTTTTCATTATATTTCTTCTTGGTTACATTTCTGCTTTTGGACACTAGATGGGACTAAGATGACTTGTGTTACAATAGTAGCAGAAAGGATTCCGCAGCATTCCCACTTCTGAATGAAGTCTTGTCTGCTTATGGAGAGAGTTTAAGTAAACTAGTAACACATAGGGCTGTTTTCATTTTCTTTGTGACATGAAATTATGGCTTCCTTGTTTATGTTAAATGGTGACTTTGATCAATATTTAGGTAACATTAAAACCTTATTATATAAGATTCAGGTATAGTTTAGGAATACGTGGCCAAAACATACCACAGTATTTTTCTTATTTGCAACTTACAGAGAAACCTAATAGAAAGATCAAAAGAATTAGTAATGTCTAATGTCTAAAGTAATGTCTAATTACTTTAATCACCATGAGCCTGGCAGATAATTATAAAAAATCCTTGATAATTACATTGGGAAGAAAAAGTTAAACAAATGTTACATATTTCTTTTGTTCTTATTTCTTTTCTCATTTTAAATGAGCCCTATTTTAATTAACAGCTGACCCTAAAATAAAAAGCTTCGTAAAAATAAAGGTAATGTTTCATTACTAATAATAGCCAAATGATTATCTTGGGAAAAAGAATAGTATAGCTGGAAATAGTGCTCCACAGCTTTGTCTATACAGTTTATAACAATGTATGTAAAAAAATTGTGTAATTAAAATATACTTTATGAAAATATGTATTGTGAGGAATGTCTCAGTTGCTGTAGGAACTTGTAGGCCTAACAGTGCTTGTTTTCCTCTCACATTTCTAAATACATCTGTAACCCTATATCTGTAACCCTCATGTATAGGTTAAGAAAAATAATACTGTTCCCTGGTGAATAGCTCCAGTTGGTAGGAGTGTCATCTGTACACCAAAGGGTTGCAGGTTTGATCCCCGTTGGGGACACGAATGGGAGGTAGCAGATTGGTATTTCTCACATCAGATGCCCACCCCCCCTTTCTCCTTCTCTCTCTCTCTCTCTCTCTCTCCTCTTGTAATCAATAAACATATCCTTGATGGTGTAAGGATTAAAATATAAATAGTGTGGGGTAGGGTGGGTAGGAGATATGTAAATAAAGGAAGAAAAGAATAAGCTTTGATTATACAATTAAAGAGATTTTCTACTAAAATAATTTTGAGAAAAATCAGCATTTAGTTGGGTTTATATAAACGCACCTTCGGTTACTCTTCACGATTCACTCAGAAAGGTTGATTTGAAAAGTGGTGCCTATATGTTAATGTAATTCACTTAAATTCTTTCTTAGAAAGTTCTTTATTTTTATTGCTTGGAAGACTTTTATTCTCCAGAAACTCCAACCACCATTACCTTCTTGTCTTTCTATCTTCTAGTTCCCCGTCTAGAGGACTGGTTTAAGATGTTCTGATCTTTCAGGGTGGACTCAACAGATCTGGTTTATAAAGCCAGATTGGAGTCTTTGGCATCCTTAGATCCACATTTCCTAGATTGTGTTCTGCAGAACATTGCTGTTCCACACGATGCTAAGAGGTTGCCCACCAAAGTTGCATTTCACAGTGAAATATCTTTAGGAAATGCTGGGTTAAGTCATTTGAAACTGGTTTGTTTATAACATAACTTCCCAGTCCAATATGCTAATGATATGTTATATAAATTTCTAAGAGGGAGATGTATTGAATAGTATTTTCTTGAAGTATTTTGACTTCGATTTTTTTTTTTAACTTAATTATGCCTATTATCTTTGAGAATATAGATGGGAAATGTTCTACCAATTTTTAAAAGAAGATATTGTGATATGCTTCTATATAACTATCTATTTTGTAATACTATTAGAAGCCCAGTGTACAAATTTGTGCACCAGTGGGGTCCCTAGTTCTGGCCAGAGGGATTGGACTGAAACTGGCTCTCTGACATCCCCTGAGGAGTACCAGATTGCAAGAGGGTGCAGGCTGAGGGGCCCCACCAGTGCATAATCAGGGCCAGCAAGGGACATGGGAGGTTGGTCAGCCAGGGAGGGACCATGGAAGGGTTCCTGGGCATGTCTGGCCCATCTCACTCAGTCCCAATTGGCTGGACCTCAGCAGCAAGCTAACCTGCCAGTTGAAGTGTCTAACCTCTGGTAGTCAGTGCACATCATAGCAAACCATTGACTAGCCTTAGCATATCATGATCATTTTATGCTTTGATTGGTTGAACAGACTATGTGATATTTAGCATATTAGGCTCTTATTATGTAGGATTATAGCTACTTCTGTGAATATTGTGTTAGCCTGGCAAGATCCCAACTCTGGTTGCATCCAACTTTCTGCCTGCTGTGTGCCTGTGCCTAGGCAATTGAGTATAACTGGAGATAGAGGCACACAAGTGTGCGCACATGCGCATACACACACCATACTGATTGGGTTGACTTCACCTTCAAGACCGCTAACCTCAGGTGGGCCCTTAGTTCTGCCCTATAATTCTATGACAAATCCTTACCCAGTCTCCCAGACCACTAAATTTCACTTCTATCTTTCCCTCCTCAGATTCCTCACACCCTCTTACCTATTCTCTCTCAGCTGGTAATCTTGCTTCCTATTGCATTGAGAAGAAAAAAAAAAAAAAAATACAGGCAGAAGGAATGTTCAGTGCTTCCAATATCTTGTCTGCTGGGTACCTTCCTGATCAATGCCCACAGACAGGCCCGTCTCTGTTTCTGGGCGATGCTTCACTGCCCTCATGCGTAGTATCCCCCTCCTTCCCTGAGTCGGTTGTTCTGCATCAGTAGGTCACCCTTGTCTATTGAATTATTCCTACAGTACCCGAGTGGAGCAGGGATTTTTGTTTATTTCCACAGCTGTTGTAGTCTCAGCACCTTGGATGGTGCCCTGATCATGGTGGTTGCTCAGGGTCTATTTCTTGAATAAATAGAGTAATATTTCCCATCCTTTCAAAAAAAAACATGTTATTTTGAAGTCATTCTACTAGTAAACTTCAAGTTTGTAAAATAGAACAGAGAATTTCCATATGTGCTTTGCCAGCTTCCCCTAAATATTTCCCAACATAAGAAACAAGAAACAAGCTTCCCTTTTGCTATCCAGTGTCTCATAGCTCTGCTTCCTTTAAGAACAGAACTCCTAAAGCCTATTTTCTGTACTAGCGGGTCTCCATCTTTTCTTCCTCTTTTTACACCCCCTCTAGTCAGGCTTTTGCCCTTTCCTAGCCCCGGTTCCCCTAAAACGGCTCTTATCAGGGACCATACTAATGGCCTTTACATGCAGTGACCAGTTCTTGGTATTAATATATTAGGTGAGTGAAAGATCCTTTGGTTTAGCAATTTCCCCCCAAATAAGATCTATTGTAATAAATGGTTCATAATCTCTAATTACTGTTTTTCTACTTTTGCTAGTACTTGACAATTGATCCCGATAGTTACAATTTTTAAATTTATATAATCTACAGGTGTGAAGCATCCAGCCCACACATTCATCCTGTTGGTTGGTGTAAAGAACATAGAAGAGCCCTTATCACTCCTCCAGGTTTGTGTCTACTGTACGTCTAATATTGTTCTCATAGATCACAAGTCGGGAAACGTTTTCTGTAAAGGGCCAGATAGTAATTGTGTCTGACTTTGTAGGCCATACAGTCTCTCTCACAACTATTCAGTTGAGATGAAACACAAAGGCAGCCACAGACAGCATGTAAATGAATGAGCATGGTTGTGCTGCAGTAAAACTTGATTCACAAAAAGAGGCCACCCGCCTGCAGGCAATAGTGTGCTGACACTCGGTAATCTGAAAGTATAGAAGTGTGCCTTAGTCTCCAGATTCTCCACCTTTGTCTTGTTTGCAAAAACAGCAAGTTCTGTTTTAAAAGATCTTTCATTCCTCAAATGGAAATTCATTTCTAGCTAGACTTTAAATTCATACACATGTAAATATATTGTCTAACCATAGAAGTGAATTGTCTAAGACAGTGGTCGGCAAACCGCAGCTTGCAAGCCACCTGCAGCTCTTTGGTCCCTTGAGTGTAGCTCTTCCACAAAATACCACATGCAGGCATGCACATACAGTGCGATTGAAACTTCCTGGCCCATGTGCAGAAGTCGGTTTTCAGCCCGGACGAGTCTATTTTGAAGAAGTGGCGTTAGAACACTCAAGGGGCCAAAGAGCTGCATGTGGCTCACGAGCTGCAGTTTGCCGACCCCTGGTCTAAGGCTTTGACGAGCCTGGAGAGATGGACATATGGGCAGCCTTTGTGGGTTGGGCCTGGACCATCCAGTGTCAAGGTCCATCCTGTGAAAAAGCACAATGTGCACGTCGAAATGGGATTCGTTTTTCCCCCCCTTAGATCAGAACTCACGCATTCACTTTTCCTTTTTCCGTTGTGATCCCTGGTTCTGAACGTAGGTTTCACAGCTTCATAGTGGGGATTAACACCTCTCTGCCCCCTGGAGTGGTCAGGTACTTCAGCTGTCAGCCTCCGGCCTAGAGCCCTCTCGGCTCACTCTCTCTGTCTTGTACAGGGAACAGTGTAACTGCTGATAAATAGTCTTCTTTGTCAATTGGTGTTTGTCTTCATGTGTAAGGAACCGATTCTGTGGCTTCACCATCATAATTAAGGCCTTGAGTTTCTGAGCATCCCTGTGTAAGGTGCCATGGCTGCTGCCTCTATGAAAAGACAGGGTCATAGCTCCCAGCAGTCACTCAGCTGCAGAGGTTGCATGTGAGTGATGAAGGCTCCATTATCTCAGGGAAAGGATGGCTCCTGGGTTTGCTGGGATCTGCTGGGTGGATAGTGCCCACAGCATGGAAATAGCAGAGACTCAGCTTGGAGCTTCAGATACTTGTCTCGCTCCATCCTAACAGCTGGCTCCGTCTTTAGGCTTGTCCCCAGTTCCTCCTTACTGTATCTCACTGAGTGTCTGGACATTTCTTCTCGGGACCATCCATTCCTGTGACGGGGCAGGCGAGTCCTTCCCACTTCCTGAGTTTTCTCATGTGTGAAGGAACAGAAGCTTCTGTCCTTCACTGGTTTACCAAACCGTTTTTTGAAGGTGAAAGGATATTTACATAAATCATAAAGTGTTAAAGCTAGGTATTAGTAGTTTTATGGCCCAAAGGTGGTGCTGCCTGAAAGACTTCTAATCAGTTCTCCTGTGTCCTGTGACTCATGTAATATTAGGAGCAGGTGAGTAATGATCACCACCGTCACCATCCAAATTGCTTGTGAGGATTCCTTTATTTTTATTTATTTATTTATTTACTATTAGCCCTGTGCACGGATTCGTGTGCCAGTAGCTCACTGCCACCCTCCAGTTGCTCTCTGTCCACTGCCCTGACCTCCTGTGGCTCCCCCTCCCCACGACCCCCTCAGAGCTTGCTGCCCTGCCTCCTCCTATAGCTCTCCACCACCTCCTTGTAGCCAGTAGCTTGCTGCTACCCTCCCGTAGCTCCCCCCCCTTCTGCCCTGCCCTCTGTAACTCCCTCTGCACCCCCACAGTCCCTCATACCTTGCTGCCCTGCTCTCTTGTAGCTTGCTGCCCCACCCTCCTGCTGATCTGTGATCCAGTTTTTATGCTTCACGGCGAAATGACCATATGCATATTGGACTTTAATTTTATTATTTAGGACTTTAATCCTCATCCGAGGATATTTTCCCATTGATTTTTAGAGAGAGGGAAAGACAGAAACATTGATGTAAGAAAAACACTGATTGGTTGCCTCCTGCACATGCTCTGACCAGGGACCAGGCCAGGAAGGAGCCTGCAACCAAGTTATGGGGCCTTAACGGGAATCAAACCTGGGACCCTTCGGTCTGCAGGCTGATGCCCTATTCACTGAGCCAAACTGGCTAGGGCTGAGGATTCCTTTAGATTTTCCAATTTGGTGTCAGTCTGATTTTTTTCCTTACCACCTTTTTGGTCGTGATCAAGGATCTGGTAAATAAACAGAACCAGTGAACAACAGATTCCTGGTTAAGTCTTCACAATACTGAGTTAGGTACCTGGGAAGGTGTGGTGTACAGCATGATTGCTGACTTCTGATGTGAGGCAGAAAGCTTTCATGGACTTTTACCATTCATTAGAAAAGAAAATACATACCTTTTGGCAAATTAAGAAAATACAGAATTGTATGTTAAAAAGTGCCAAACACACAACATTGTAAATATAATCAATGCCACTAACTATGTACCTAAATACAATTAAAATGGTAAATATTGTGATAGGTATATTGTAATACACACAGTTTTATTAGTTTAAAAACAAAAACAAAAAACCTTCCAAGTAATGCGACTGGTTAGTAGGGCCCGTACTGATGTTACTCTAATCTTTCACTCCATGACATACTAGGTGTTCTTTCTCGAGTCCCTTTTTGCTGTGGGCACGTTCCTGGCTTGGACTCTGATATCAGCTGCTCTCTGACACCCCTGCTACTTTGTGGATCGGTTCCCTGAGCCCTTGCTGGCCATGTCTGTGTTTTGTCTAATCACATAATAAATCTACTGTTTTTTCCCCCTAGAATTAAGGTCTTCATGCCTTTTCAAATGATGTTTATTTTGAATTATTGAAATTATATATTTAAGACATACTTTAAAAAAAGTTTAGAGTGGAAATAAAGATAATGTCTTCCCAGAAAAACCTCTTTGCCTCTATATATGCACATACATACAGTCAGTATTAATGCGACTTAAATTGTGGAAGATGGGGTCCTTAAAAATATATTGTAAAATGTGTGTGTACACAGAAATCCTTGTGTATTTACTCTCTAAAATGTTTATTTTAAAATGATTTTAAATGTGCAGAAAAGCTGCAAGAATACTACTGTAGACCCATTCAAGTTTATCAGTTGTACCAGAGATGGCATTTATAGCAAAAAGATCAAGCATTGCATTTAGTTGTTGTATCCCTTGACTTTCATAACTGCAGTGTGTGTGAAGATTGCAGGTTAGTCTCTTCGTTCTGTAGAGTGTTACTTCATATGGGTTTGCTTGGTGTTTCCTCATGGTTAGACCCAGGTTATGCGTTTTTGGCAGGGAAATCATAGAAACCATGCTGTGTTCTCCTTACATCCTTTCAGGTGGCACATGATGTCAATTTGTATCATTACTGGTTGATTTTACCATTAATTGTTTGAGATCGTATTTTCTAGATTTTTCCATCAATGTAGTTTATGGAGAGATGCTTTGAGAGTCTATAAATATCCTGTTTTTCACTCCTATGTCACTCACTGATTTTAGCATCTATTGATATTTCTAGTATGAATTATTATTCTGAAAGTTGCTAAATGGTAGTTTTTCTTATTTTATTACTTCTTGTACATATGAGTTGATATTCTTATGCCAAGAATAGCTTTCTTGCCTTCCCATTTATTCATTTAACTTATTGATATTGGTGTGGACCCATAGATTACTTATGCCACCAGTGGGTTATAATTCATTACTAGCATTATTTTCATGTCCAGATTTTCTCAGATTTGGCCAGTAGGAGACACTTTAAACTGGTTTCCATATCCTTTTAAGAACATCCTACTTTCTGGCTCAATTAGGCTAATATTGTGCCTTCCCTGACCCAACCCTGAAGTCAACCATTTCTCCCAGTCTGCATGGTCCTTTCTACTAGAGAAGGATATTTAAAAAGTAAGATCTGGACTCTAGATACGTTCATTACTGTTGGGGTATTGCTGCTTCCATCTTCTCAGTGGATGTAGGAAATATGTAAATATTTAAAAATTTATTCATCTTTATTTTTCTGTCATTTATACATATTAAAAACTATGAATTGTTATTATTAGCTCTAATTGATATCTCACAATACTGAATTTATTCTGGTTTTCCACTTTGCGTAATTATACCTCTCGTTTTAGTCCATGAGAAATCTGGCTTCTGTTATTTATAATATGTTTACTGGTGTTTTCAGTCCCCTTTATGTTTCCCACCCTACTAGACTATCGTTAATTCCTGCTCAGGGCTACCATTCATTGCTACCTGGGGCTTCCTAATGGAATTTGGACTCTGGAGAAAGGACAGGGGGCAGGAGGGGAGAAGGGTGGGTCCTTTTAGACATGGTATGATATTTTGTCATGTTTATTTTGTCTAACAATATGATTATATGTCTGGAATATTTCACATATTAGTATATATAAATCTGCCTCGTTCTTTTTAATAAATTCTTTTATATGTGCTATACAGCTTTTTGCATAGTTCTGTAGTGATGGTCATTTAACTGATATTTACATTTTCACATCTACCATGGTCTTTGTAATACATATATGAGAATTTCCTAGAGTATTAGAAATAAAGTTGCTAGATTAAAGGTATTTATGTTTGTGTGTTAATGTGCTTTTGTAGGTGTCTTGTTATAATACTATTCTTACCCGAGACAGTAAATTGTACATATACATATAAAATTTTCATTTAAAAGTTAATAGGGAAATCATGATCAAGATGAAAGCAATTTTATTACTATAAATAGTTCTGAATGTGGAGCTAGTTTAAAATTATTATGTGTAATTAAAACATAACTTCCTGTATTATAGTGATAGCATTTCATAATATTATAGATCAGTTTTTGGTTCTCACTATCATTTTGGTTAAACTTAATTTTTTTAACTCTTAGGTTATTCAAATGTGAAACATTTTTCTTGGGATAAATATTTAGAAGAAACCAATTCTTTACCTGCTCCTGCAAGAGCTTTCAAAGTGGTAAGAGAATATTTTATACTGTTTGATTAGTTTGTGTTGGTGATAATGTTGATTCATTGAAATTTAAGAACAGAAAGAGATAGATAGTACTGATGAATTGGAATAGGAATGGGAGGAAAACAGAAGGCCAGGATGATGTTTCTGAATTTTTGTAGTTTTGAAAGTCAAAATTGTTACTATGGTTTTTGTTGTTGGCATCTAAAAATTACTTCCATTTTGTACTTTAAAGCTCCTTGGAAAATAATTCTGGTTGAGTTGGTATGTAGTCAGTTGTTTGTACAACAAACATCTTTTTTTAGGGTTATTCTTTTTTAATTGATATCACACAGAGGAGGGAGGGGGAAGAAAGAGAGAAATATAGATATTAGAGAGAAACATTGATAGGTTGCCTCTTGCAAATGCCCTGACTGGGGATCAAACCTACAACCAGGGAATGTTCCCTGATCGGTGATCGAACCTGTCATCTTTTTTAGTCGGTGTGTAGGATGCTCCAACCAACTGAGCTGCACTGGCCAGGGCCAGCCAGGTATTCTGAAAGACCAAGCAGGACAGGCCATTGTTTTCTAAAGTAAATTATATCTAATCATTCCTTTTCATTTGTTTATGGCAAGTTGAGGTGCTATTTTTATTTTGTTGCTATAAATTAGCATGTTTACTTACCAAAATACAAGATCATTTCCTTTTATATTATTCTCATTCTTGTTCCTACTAGAGTGATTCTATATGGTATATTTTGATTGCTAATTTTCTTCTTTAAAAGATATTAAACTTTTTGCTTTCATTACCACCTTTAATCTTCATCTTAATTCTGGCATTTTAATGTTCTCTTAAAAAATAGACTAGGTTTGGACATGTGTCATGGGATTGTGTTTGTTATAAAGGAGGGTGAGGTTCAAAGCCATTCTTGAAACTTGAGGGTTTGAAAGGCTGGTTTTCTGGATGGCTCATCTTTTTTAATCCTATTTTTTTTTTAATTCTATTTTTTGTGACAGAGAGCCTACCTTCTCTTCCTCTTAATTTCACTGTATAAAATTTTCTTTTGTGGCAGAAACCTCCACATGGATTCCAGAAAAAAATGAAGCTGGAGGTCATAGACAAAAGAAATCCCATGTTCATTAGAGTGGCCACAGTTGCAGACACAGATGATCACCGAATAAAAGTGAGTGCTTTCTGATGTGGTTTTGCTTTGCCTTTTGTTGCAAGATGTCTTGGGTGGAATCTTCAACAGATCTTTAATTTGTAAAGTCCTGCAATTAAATTAGTAAAACCACAGGACTAGGCAAATTAAGTGTCTGTGCATCTTCATAAGTCAGTATTTACCCAGTTTTTTTCTTTAATCTATATAAATTTTTTCTTTAATTATGACTAGCTTTTAATGTCATATCTTCTTTCTCCAAACATGCACTCAACATAATAAATCATAATTGAGAGAAGACTTCTTACATAGATAGTAGAGACATTTCCTCTGAATAGAATAACTCACTATCTAGTAGTATGCTCTTTTTTAAAAAATTGAACGCTAATGTTATTTGATGGGGTATTGTTAGATGTAGACTTTTCAGAAGGATAAGACTGCAAGAGGGCACAGGCCAGGCTGAGGGACCCCCCAAGTGCACAAATCTCATGTACCAGGCCTCTAATTATTAATAATAAGTAAGGATACAAGAATCAACTCTAAACCTACTGTTTGCCGCATTGTGTATACAGCCTGTCAGTATATCTTTCACCCTACGAGATAAAAAATATGTAATACTACAAGATATGCAGCCGATTCTTAGTGACCATGCCTGAAAGACCACCAGCCCTTTTACCTGGTGCCTAGTAAAGATGGTAGCACTGACCGCTCTGTAAAACCTCTTTGGGATATCTTGTAATTATTTATGAGGGGAAAAAATAGCTAAAAATGCATTTGATGTGTAAAGTGGGTATTGTTAATAGAGCATGCATTTTTAAAAAGTATTTTTAACATTATTTTAGGAGATTTGCCATGTATACAAAAGTTCTCCTGCCTCTCCACTTTCCCCTACCACTTCACTTTTCTGATTGATGCATTACTTTAGTAATTTATTGGGCATTTGGTGTTGCTTCTATGAAGATGTTAATTATTCAGGTTGCTTATTGGGAGGTACATGTAACATACCTGTAGAAGTATTTCAAAATAAGTGCCTTTGGCAAAGTATTTATTGATGGTTAGGTAAGTTAAAGATAGGTCGGTCAGAAGTGCTCCTTTTCTCATAGTGTGGATGAAGTAATTTAAATAATTGAAACAATTTATTTGGTATTAAACCTACTATATAAGTTAGAAGAGAATGACTGTGATTACGATGGGCAGACCTGAATTGCTGAATTTCTTGTTTGTTGTCCAGGTTCACTTTGATGGCTGGAATAGTTGCTATGATTACTGGATAGATGCAGATTCTCCTGATATTCACCCTGTGGGCTGGTGCTCAAAAACCGGGCACCCTCTTCAGCCTCCTTTGAGTAAGAAACCCAAGGATAACAAAAACTGTTTCCATTTCCTTCTAGAATGCTTAATATTTTCTTTTCCTCATCATTTTTTTTCTTTGTAATTGCTCATATGGAACACAATATGATAATTAATAAATAATTATGCTATACAATTCTTCTCTATGTAATTCTTTTCTCTCTTACTACATTTTTAATTGCTTGGAGCAAAAAATATATAAAGAAAAATTTAGTATCTGAAAAAGTAAGAATATAGCATTATTTTACTTTTATTTAGAAGTGGTCATCACCTTTTAAAATTAGTTCTGAATTTTTGGAAGGCAGTTTGTTAGGCTATCAAAATTTAATGTATAATTGTCAGTATGCTAATAGTGAGTTTATAATATAGTTTTGCAAAATGTTGTCATTGGGAGAAACTGGACAAAGTGTATAAGGGACCTCCCTCTGGCCCTGGTCTGTGTGGCTCAGTTGATTGAGCATTTCCCTGTTCACCAAAAGGTCGCCAGCACAGTTCCCTATCAGGGCACATGCTCAGGTTACAGGTTCAGTCCCCGGTCAGTATGCATACAGGAGGCAACTGATCAATGTTTCTCTCCCTCTTCCCCTCTCTTTTTCTCTCTCTCTAGAATCAATAAAAACATTTTTTAAAGGGACCCCTCATACTTATGACTGCATGCGAATCTACAATTATCTCAGTGAATATTACAGTTTTTATTTATTTTTAATATATTTTTATTGATTTCAGAGAGGAAGGGAGAGGGAAAGAGAGAGAAACATCAATGATGAGAGAGAATCATTGATCAGCTGCCTCCTGCACGCCCCTTTCTCCCCCCCCCCCCCCCCCCCCACTGGGGATGAGCCCGCCACCTGGGCGTGTGCTCAAAACCTGGGACCTTTCATTCTGCAGGCCAGTACTATCCACTGAGCCAAGTTGGCTAGGGCAACATTACAGTTTTATGGTTTTTTTTTAAATTATTTTTTAAGACATGGTATTGTTTACAGTATATTTAATATAACAAGACTGGGAAACAAATATTGGTTAAATAAGCTGGTACACTCATACAGCAGATACTATGCAACAGTCAAGACTATTAAAAGAAAAGAAATGGAGGGAAATAGTTATAGAGATAAAGGACCATTGAAGAGACTGTCAAAACTATAGCGGGAAGACAAGGGAGGTTGGGGGGGAGGTGTAACAGCTTGACTGGGATCTGTAACTGTTCTTTTGTCTCCAGTGTGTTTAAAGTTTTCAGTGTACGATTCATATGTTATGTTATTTACTTGAAAAAAATGTTTAGAATCTTCTCATAAATTCAGATTAGGTATCTCTGGAATTTGTCACATTTGAAAGGGTTTTGGATGAAAGTTTACTGTTTCACTATTGAAGAAAGACAAAATAGTGTGAACAAAGTCATGGGGGGACCACCTTTAGAAGTAGAGACTTTCAAAACATTTTTATTTCTATAGTATCTCTCTCTCTCTCTCTCTCTCTCTCTCTCTCTCTCTTTTATTTTATTTTTTAATATATTTTATTGATTTTGTACAGAGAGGAAGGGAGAGAGATAGAGAGTTAGAAACATCAATGAGAGAGAGTCATCGATCAGCTGCCTCTTGCACACCCCCTACTGGGGATATGCCCGCAACCTAGGTACATGCCCTTGACCGGAATCGAACCCGGGACCTTTCAGTCCCCAAGCCGACACTCTATCCATTGAGCCAAACCGGTTTCGGCTCTCTCTCTCTTTTAAATCATGTGTGCTGATTTATGTGTTAATTCCAAATTGGATTTTTCCACTCTTACAACCTAATTAATTTTATGCTCCTCCTTTCCTTTTTGCTTTGTCATAGATCCCTTAGAGTTAATGGAAGTTTCAGAACAAGGTGGATGCTCAACCCCAGGATGTAAAGGGATTGGTCATTTTAAGAGAGCGAGACATCTGGGCCCGCAAAGGTATGGGGTGCTGTGGCTCACGTGGGGATTCCTTACCTGGTCAGATAGGGGGTGTTATATGTACAAGATAATGGTTTTCATGTATACTGAATAGATGGGAACTAATTTTAAATTCAGATCCATAGGAATTGTGGTTACCATGGTGATCCTATAAAAACGCAGAGTGTATCTGTAGTTTAATCTTCCTGGGAGAGAATGTATTCACAGTTAAAAATAGATTTACTCTAGTTATTTGGCTTTTATGACTAGCGTAGACACTTAGCTTCTGAAACAGTTATTTGGGGTTGAACATTAATAATGAGAAGAAGGTAGATCCTGTTGTTTGTTTGGTAGAACAAACTGTGATTGGGTGACACAATTAATTGAATACAAAGAGGTAATATTGTTGTAGATTAGCTAAGATCACAGAAAGCACAAATATAGTCAAACATGAGAATGTGTTGATCAAAAAAGCATTTTTCTATATTTTCCTGTTATCTCTAATTAATTAAAAAAGAAACCAAATTTATACATTTGAAATTGAATGTATTATTTAGGCAAGTTGGGGTCATTTTTAGATTTTTAAAGTTTTTACTGAATACCGAGAAATTGCTGTGATTTAAGTGTGGTTTTTTTTTACAGAACAAAAGTATTATCTGTGTAGGTATGTGTTAAAGAAACTGTTCTACCTGCATGTTAATTGGATTGCCCAGTAAGAAAAACGGTTCCTTGTTTATGTAGATTGTGCAGGTTGTGAATCCAGGTCTTTAAAATATCTAAAGATTGCACTGGCTGTTTCTCTGAGAGTTAATAGGAATTGTAAAATTGATGAGATTACTTTCTTCTTTATATAGTTCCCTCTTTCTTTCATTTCTACCACTTCCCTACAATGCTGCTTATCTTCCTTTTGCAAACCTCCTCCCGAGTTATTTTTATAAGGTTCGGGATGTTCTAGAGTAAAAAGTCTGAGCATAGAAAGGGTGATGAGTCCGCTTGCAAATATCCATTTTGAAACCCTTCTTGTTGTTTGTGTGATTGCAATCCAAAAAGTTACATGATTAATTTAAGCTGAGTTAAAAATACTGCATCTTAGAAGTTATTTACTGTTGCAAAGTAGACTGGATTATTTTCAGACATTATGTAAGTCAAAATGCCAGAAATGACTCATTAGCATGCTGATATTTATAAATTCTTTTGTTCAATAAATATTTTTGAACAGCAATTTTTCCCCTTAATATCTAACACTTATTGAGCATTAATTTACTCTGTGAGATATTGCACTGATTGTTTTATATATATTGGATGACCTTCAAATGATCCTAAAACACAGAACTGTTACTTTCTCTGAATTTTTGAAGAGGCCACTGTGGCACTTAGAGGTGTACTGACTTGCCTAACTGACAGCTAGTTGAGGAGGGAGTTGGGAGTAGCAGTCAGTGTAACTCAAGGATCTGTGCTCTTGGCCACTGTTTTCTCACTGCCTGTGAAGGCCCTGCTCCATGAATGAGTCCCAAACCCAACCCTCAAATATCTCATGGATGAATGGAATTGTGTGTAAGCTGTCCATAATTAAAATAGGGACATAAAATGGTAACTAAATATTGAGACTTCGACATATGTCCCTAGGAAGGAAAAGACATTTTGTTGGGCTGCAGTAGAAAAAATTTAAAAAGATTTATTTTTGGTCTTCTGGTAAGAAAACCCACCTTATTATGGCAATGTCCAAGATCTATTTAGAAGTGCTTTGGTCCGAGCCACGAGTTTTGCCTGTCACTGCCAGGTCTGTGGTGGAGAGTCGTTCCCCTACTACTGCCCCTGGCCCTTTGGCCATTTCCAGGACCTCCTTTCCCTAACTGTACTGGCCTTCCACTGGCCACATCCCCTTCATATGGAAGACTTTATTGAGACATGTAATAAGGCAATATTTCAGTGTAATTAGAACCATAGTGGATAATTACTTACTTTTTTTTTTTTTTGAACAAGAGAAGTAGACCTTATGCCTTAAAAGGCGTGCATTAGTAAAGAAGCTGTGTTTAGGGTATAACCAGTAGGTCTGTGCATTAAATCTGCCTAGAGCCTCAGGGAGGAGGATGCAGTTCAGAGAACTAGTGGGATTTAGCTCCTGCCCAAGGCCAGTCTTCCTTGTCCTTAGCCCCTTCCACTGGCTTTTCTTAGTCTCCTGACTCTGATCTCCTATTCACAACACTCGGAGCTCTTTATCTGGCAGGATATTAATTTTTGACAGACACAGACTATTTTCCATTTCATTAGTAGACTTCTGGAGTGGCTGCTGCATCGTGGATGTGCTCTGAAAGGCTCATTTTACTGGTACTTATTTTTGTCCTTGCTGAGAATGCTGTGTTTAAGGAAACATAATGAGAAAAATTCTCTTTGGATTAATTTACTGAGAAACTGCATAAATCAAAACATGCATTCTTTGCTTAGATAACAAAGAAAGTTTCTCTCTCCTAGCAAGAATAATAAATTGTATGAACAGGCAAGGAAAGGCCTATGTTTTGACTAGCATTTGTTGTTGGCTTCTCTGGAAATTATAATAGTTGGGTTTGATCAAAGACGCGTTTGAAATAGAACATGTATCTCAACAGTGGGATTTAGAATGTAGTGTTTTTAATGGCCGGAATCAACAAGATCAGTAAAAGAGTTGGATGTGGATACAGTATTCTCCTCTCCGGGCGGATTCGGTAGCCAGATGGCCTGATTAGCATTGGCTGCGTCGTGGTATTTTCCCTTTGCTGATTCATTCATTTGGTCCACTGAGAGGTTAGAGAATGGGAGGAGTTTAAAGGAGAACTAAAGTCATACGAAAGTCCATATTCTACATCTAGTGCCTGGTCTCCTTTCATCATCATATATCTGACCCCCTTTACCTTCTTCATCCTCCCCTCGAGCTCCGCAAACAAACCAAACAAATTATGTTTTAAAGACAACTTTTTCATACTGTTTAATCATACATATACACATATATAAATACATTCAACTTGTTCAGCTAAACTTTGGAATTTTCTATTCTGTAGTCTGCCATTTCAGTTGAAATAAGTGTTTTTTAATGGGAATGTTCTATTCTTATTCTTTTTGACATTTAGTGCTGCCAACTGTCCCTATTCAGAAATCAATTTAAACAAAGACCGCATCTTTCCAGATCGCTTAAGTGGGGAAATGCCTCCGGCTAGTCCATCATTTCCGAGAAATAAAAGGACAGACACAAATGAAATCTCCTCATCTCCTGAAATCAGGTAATTTACGTGATGATATTAATGTTGTTTAGAAGTTCTCTGATAGGAAGTCCTCTACCTTACATGTTTCATGTTCTATGGTAATACTTTCGTGTACATCATTGAAAATTCACCCGATTAAATGTGAAAGGGTGGTGGGGATCAGCACTGGAACTTCTTTTTTAATTAAGGAAACTATTCATATAGGCATATTTAAGTCAGGCAGGATTTCTTATTTCTTATTCTTTTAGTGGTACTTGGGTGATGTTGAATGAATTGGTCAATATTTATATAGAACTAGCTATTATTGCAAACTCCTTGTGAACATTATTTCTTTTTAATGTTCATTATATACCAAGTGCTTACATATACCTATTTCATGTACCTTAACATGTTAATTGTACTATAAGTTCAGTCATTTAGTTTTGATTTCACTTCTAGAGTTGGTCGGGATGCGTTAGTCTCAGTGGATTATATTAGGTAAAAAACTAAGCTTTGTGAGATATATCTTTAAGTATGTGGTCTGTGCCTTATGTTACCTGAGGACACTACAAAAGAAACAGCAGACGAATAAAAATATGCTCCATCGTGCTTACGTTTGGGGGTTTCTTTTATGGAGCATTTTAAAATCTAAGGCACATAGTTCCTTATTTTCATATTGTACTACTTCCATTCTCATGAAGAATGAGTGGATATTTGAATTACTGCATCTGGTTCTGAATTTGCAACGGTGTTATGGAGTAATGGCATCTCCAGCATCAGTATCCTTCTGCCCTATGCATAGGCTAACTTCTTTGATTATTAATAACAGTGATGATTTTTTTAATCCTCCAAACCATAACTAATATAACTTGAACTCATTTACCTAACCCAGTACCCTAAAATGAGGATATACTAGTATCACTTGAAGAAATTTACCCTAAGACAAATAAAAGTACTAACTCACAGAGTGGTAATTAGAGGTACAGAGTTCATTGACTCACTACGTGGGAAGAATACCTAGAGTTTCAGATTTTTCAAAAGCAATGATATTGTCTTAAAAATCAGCAAAAATTCTCCAAAGGATCGGTAGTACCAACTTTGCTAACTGTCTGAACTCCAGGCCGGATTTCTGGGGCCAGAGTCTCCTTAGAGCAGACGTAGATGACACTTACTGTAATTTATCTGTCATGGCAGTGCCAGGATAAAAAACAACACATCGCCGTATTTCTCATTCTGGTGACAGCCCAGCATCGGAGATGGGTGAATGGGATGGCACAGCCAGCGCCGTCTGCATGCAGTCCACATCCCCTAGCCCCTCACTCCCACTGTGGCACACAGCTGCTGACTTGCACCTGTCTCACCTGGGCCGCTCTCCTGCAGGAAGAGCCTGGGTCTGGCCGTGTTGCCCACTGTGCGGCAGGGCAGACGTGCAGGGGGATTGGTGTGTCCTGCCTTCCCTGGCAGCCTCCCTCTCTGGTGAGGGGAACTGCTTTGTAAGTAGCCTATCTCCCTCACCCCGTGTAGGAAGGCTGAGATGTGTGTTACACAGACTCCCAAGGTTTTCCTAGCAGCCTGTGCTCCTGCTGTCCAGGGGGTAGCCAATATGGCAGGGAAGCTGTCACTGCTGTCCCTTGTCTCCCTTCCTCCCCCCCTCCCCACACACACAAAATCTCCCACAATGCTATTCCTCACCTCCCAAGTAAACCCCTTGCAAGCAAATCTTTGCTTCAGGGTCAACTTCTGGTGGTACAAACGGTCTCTTGCTGAGTCAAAGGGCATTAAAAAAATCCCAATTTTAGCAAATTATTTAGAAAGATGCAAAGAAAAGGTATTACTCCTGAGTGGGAAATTACATCCACGTGAGCAATGCTGATGGGAAAAGAAGACAGAAGTAATCTGATATTATGAGAATCACCTCGTTTGAGAGCTCTATTCAAAGTGTAACCTGAAAACAGCAAAGAAACAGGCAGTATTATTTGAAGGGCCACCTCACAGGCCATCTGCTCAAGACAGACTCAAGACTTCCCCAGCAGCGGGTCCCAAACTTGGCTTCACACCAGATTCCCTGGGGCCTCACAAAATTCAGATTTGGCAGCCTGGCCCACCAGAATCTTCCAGGTGGAGCCTGAGAGTCTGCATTTTATTTTATTTATTTAATTTTTAAAAAATATATTTTTATTGATTTTGTACAGAGAGGAAGGGAGAGAGATAGAGAGTTAGAAACATCGATGAGAGAGAGTCATCGATCAGCTGCCTCTTGCACACCCCCTACTGGGGATATGCCCGCAACCAAGGTACATGCTCTTGACCGGAATCAAACCCGGGACCCTTCAGTCCCCAAGCCGATGCTCTATCCATTGAGCCAAACCGGTCTCGGCATGTGAGTCTGCATTTTAAAAAGTGATTTGGGAGTAAATTAGGGTCTTAGAATTTAGACCCTAATTCTGCTTCATCTCTACCAGGCTTGTTTTTTAAACAATGCTGCAACCCCAGCATCTTTTCTCTCTGCCTACAACCATCTCCTACTAGCTCGTCTCTCAACCTGCCGGCTTCAGGTTAACTCACTTCCTCAGGGACGCTTCATAGGCTCCTCCAGACTGGAGCTCAGGCCCCTCATTCCTCGCTTTCCTGTCTCACACGAGACACCATTGACAGTTTTCCATTCGCCTTCCCAGGAGACACGTCTTACATAACGTCAAGGCCATTGCTCTATAACCTTCTTTTTGTTCTTCTTCAACTTTGTAAGATCTCCAGGCTAGATATTTGAGGGGGGATTATTAAATGATGTAATAATTCCCCCAAATACATGTCTGCACCCTTTTATAAATTGGAGCAGTGCTCCCCAAACTGTTGTTAACTCCTGGCCCACGTAGAAAATGGCACCAGAGAAATAACGTTGATAAGGCGCACCAAGGAAAAGGATGGGGCTGCCTCTGGGAGGGCACAGGGACCAGCATCTGAGGATTGGGCATCCTGGTGGGAAGCTCCGCCCACATTAAGATGGCTCCACCCTGAGTGCTTGGATCTCTTTTCCTGCAGTGACTTGTCAAATGGATGGTCAGGTTGTGCGTGAATTCCCAGTGCACACTTAGATAGGGATGCAAGTGCACAGGCTTTCCAGCCACACGCTCATCCATCAGATGCGGAAGGAGGCGGTGCTCGCCGGGTGCTGTCAGCGAGGTGTTCTCACTTCTGCCTCCACAGCACCCCTGGCGGCCACCTGGTGGAGGAGCTTTCCTGGGGCCTGGTAACCTTAAGTCAGTTTGTTTTGCATCAGAATCACCAGATGCTTGTCAAAAGGCAACCCTCGTGGTGCCTTCTCCAGAGACGCTGATTCGGGAACTGTATGGTGCACCCCAGCTCATGTTTAGCAAGCACCCCAAGTGATCTATAACCCGGGCTTCGAGAACCGTTATGGAGTATAAATACCTTCTCCGGAGTAATAATTCACAATGTGTTACCTGCTGAAGAACATCGTCATGTAGCCCACACAGTCTTATTCTCATGAAACCTATTCTGCAGCTGTTCGTAATTATGTTTCTATATTAGGTGCTAACTCTAGTAAAAGTGACTTAATGTTTTAAGCTCAGAGTTAATGTTTTAACCACAGAAACGCAATAAAGCATTTAATAAATACCTGCTAAATGCTTGTGTTACCTTGCAAAGCAAGTAAGTACCCAGTGCTGAGTGCAGTGAAAAAATTCAGCCTGTTCAGTTCATTATAGGTCATTAAAACGGGCTTTCATGTTGTAGGACCTGTGTTTCCACTCTGGGAATTACATAAAGCAGCTGTAGAAATTGTAGCTATCGCTCTGATTTATGTTTTCAGGATGACTCAGATTTGTCACTCACACCAAGAACCAGTCTGTTCAAGAAGGGCTCTATTAAACAGACAGGAAACAAGCTAACATAAAAGATGAACTAGAAGCATATACAAATTTATTTACTTTTCAAAAACTATAACATCAAGTAGAATACACTTAGAGCCAACCGTGTTAATGAATTTCAAAAGGTAATTATGAATCTTCAGGAACTTTTTTTTTTTTTTTTTTTTTTTTTTTGCTTCAAAAGATTTTCTGAGCCCGAGGGCTTGACACTGCTGATTAGAGAAAGTCATTTCTATGAGTCATTCCCTGCCTCTAAAGTCTCTTCCCCGCTTTTGACACCTGGAAGCCAGATATGGGTTAGGAGCTGTGGAAGTTTTAAAATATTTCAGCCCTCGGGAATCTCATATTTATGCAGTTATTTGTGTACACCAAAGAGAAGCTCAGTTTTAGTAAAAACACTCAGTCCTGATGCCAGTGGCTCTGGCACCAAGGCAGCGTTGACAGTGAGAGGAAGAGACCATTGCACGTTGTTGCATGCCCCTGAAGTCCTGGGACAATATAACAGGTTCTTGTTTTGTCTCCTCCAATAGCACTGATGGCTGACCCAGGACACTCTTATATACAGTGGAAAAGCAGGGTCTTTTCTGCAACAACGTGGAAACAATGCAGTTTCTTTTTTTATACCTGGTCTTTATTTCCCAGATCTCACTTTATCGCTTTCCATTTTATGGGGATTGATTAGCTTCATGGCTGGACTAGGTTTTCTGGAATGCATTTCTTGCAACTTGATAATATCCACTGTATTTTCTTATTATATTCCTTTTCTTCGATAACAGGTTCTTATGCTAAATTATAATTTGATAGGCTTATTAATCACAATGTTATATTTTTAGTCATTAAGTAAATAGTAAATCATATTTACCTCTCCTGGGCAACGTTTTATTAAAATTAGTGCAAATGTATCATCTCAAAAGGAATTTAATTTTATTTTTTTAAATATATTTTATTGATTTTTTACAGAGAGGAAGGGAGAGAGACAGAGAGCCAGAAATGTCGGTGAGAGAGACCAGCCGCCTCCTGCACACCCCCCACCGGGGATGTGCCCGCAACCAAGGCATATGCCCTTGACCAGAATCGAACCCGGGACCATTCAGTCTGCAGACCGACGCTCTATCACTGAGCCAAACCGGTTTCGGCAGGAATTTAATTTTAAAAACTCTATTCGGCTGTTATCCATAGACATAAATTTTTTCTTTTGTTATTGTTGTTAATCCCCCACCGTAGTATTTTTTCCAATTAATTTTTAGACAGAGTAAAAGGGAGAGGGAGAGACACAAAGAAAGAAGCATTGATGTGACACATCGATTGGTTGCTTCCTGCACTCATCCCTGACAGGGCTGCAACCAAGGTATGTGCCTTTGATCAGAATTGAACCCACGTCCTTTCAGTCCACAGGCCAACACTCTATCCACTGAGCCAAACTGGACAGAGCCATAGACATAAAAGTTTTAATTCCCACTGGGTTAGCTGTTTTTTGTGAATCCTTTTGAAGATGGCATCCTCCTTGTTGTGAAGCTGTTCAAGCATGGTCCCTTCTTCATTTGCACCAGATGTTTTAGGAACAAGTCAAGTACTCTTTTATAATTCCTTTAACATATAACCCTGAGGTTCTCATTCTCTGAGTTTTTGCCTGTGAGTGATATCAGCCCAGAAATTAAGTGGGGGAGAGAGGAATGCTAGGGACATGCAAGGATATATTCTTTTAACGTTCAAAACAGAAACTTCTATGTTTTTTACATTCACTCTGTCTCCCATTTGTTACTGGGGAGTACAGGTGCTTTTCAGCTCTTAATATAGCCCCATGATATTAGAATAAACTGTCTGCGAAGAGAAAGGTGGGCTTATTTTAAGCCAAACTAGTGTTGGATTTAGAGACATTGGCTTAAATCTCTACAGTGAAGCAAAATCATTGATTGTTTTATTATTCTTTTTAAATGGAACTGATTGAATCATAATTGCTAGGGGTTGCTGTTAAATAAGAAATAAGTAAACTTGAGGAAATACAGTTGTTTGCATTTAGATGCCATCCTGTTATTACGTATTTACTCTTCTAATGTTTGTTTGGTTCATATTTACCACAAAGCATAATTAGAGTAAGATAGTAAGACATCTAAAGCCTGACACATAATTACAGAGGGGAAGAGAATGCTGACTCATAAAGAATACATTTTCCCATTTGAGTGGAATCGACTGTCTTAATTAAAAGCCTGAAGAGTACTCTTGAGTAAGATTTTAGCTATGATTATATTTCAATTCAAGCAAAAAAAAAAAAAAAAAAAAAAAAAGTTGAAGTAAGCTGGTTCTTGAAAATTCTAAAATTCCTATATTTCAGGCACTTTTCTTGGTGCTTAGGTACATTAGTTCATTTAATCTTCATAATGCTTTCCAAGGGTAGGTGTTATTATTACTTCCCCATTCTAAACATGGAACCTCTCTTGTTTACAGGTTACACAGCATCGTGTTAAATTTCTATTCCAAATGGAGAGTAAATGATTGCCTTTATAATGAAGACCACAAAACTCCTTTATATTTTGTTGGCATATTTGGTTTCAAATGTATTTGCCCTTTCCTTGAAATTTACTAGGGGCCTATTTGTAAGCTAACACCACCTATGAAACAATAGAACATCATGAATAGGATGTTATAAAGCACCACTGTGTAGGCCAGCACCATCACCTGGGTAGTCCGAGGCAACTTGAAAGTGGGATTTGGTTTGAACTCAGAATGGAATAGATTAGGTGGGAAAATGTTAAATATCTGAAATGTAGCTTTAAAGAAAATAAATAGTGTGTGCCTGGTTCTCTTTAAAGCCATTTTTGTCCCTGACTTAACGGCAGAGCTATGAAGTAAGATTGTAATATGTCCATTCCATTTTATAGCATCCTTGTCAGGCTTAGATTAGCATGAGATCATTCCTGGTCAGAAAGAATGGGATCAGGTCAGCCTCTGCATTTGAACTGATGAAGCCAGGCAAAGCTTCCTCGAATTTTGATTCTCCTGAGCCAATCTCAGCCTCAATCCCAGATCCTGGCACTGAGTAAATATAGTAAATTGATTAAATGGTATGGACATTAAAAGCATATTCTATCTTTTAATTGTCTTACCAAACAATACAAGTAAAATTCCTCATGAATGCATGTCTCAATTTGAAGTTGAATTATTCAATAGCTACATTTCCCAGAATAATTCATCTTAATATCATTCTTAGCTTTAAAATTTCTTTTCTGAACAATAAATGAAAATTGTTCATGAGGAAATGGACATTTAGGTGTTATTAGCATTAATTGCTTCTTAGTAGAACTAAAAATTCTTTCTAACATTTAAAGGGCACCTTTTGTTTTTTAAATTAAGAAAAACAATTGCTGAGATGCGATGCTGAACAAACTATTGAAAAGTCTTTGTGTGTGTTTTATTTCTTCAGAGATCAGCATGCTGATGTCAGAGAAGAATTCGAAGAGAGAACAGAAAGTGAAGTAAGGCCGTCACACGAAGCCAGAGGTAGTCATAGTTGTCTCCTATTATGGATGGGTATTACTAGTCAGACTCAACAATCAAAATTCAGGCTTTGGCAGTCCTTGTATATTAAAGATAAACTTTATTTGGTTGGTTTGTTCCATTATCATAGGCAGTAAAGTTTACAAATACAGCCTTAGCAGGTTTGACTCAATGAATAGAATATCGGCCTGCAGACCGAAGGGTCCCGGGTTTAATTCCAGGAAGCATCCACATCAATTTTTTTCTCTGCCTTTCTCCATTAACTCTAAAAATCAATAGAAAAATATTCTCAGGTGAAGATTTTAAAAATAAAAGTATAAATATAGTATATAGTTCATAATTCTGTAGATTGACCTGCGACCTATAGTTCCAATCTCTCATATATGTTCCATATTGTATGTAACGTTTGGATAGGGCATTCTGTTTGGTTCTTGTCCATACATTTTCTTTGGTATTGTTGATGTCACTTGCTTCACATATTTTAAACTCATCTAAGGGTGTCTAATGAATCCCAAATAGAATTAATATGGTCTTAATACCACAAATGAAAATTACTTGAATGTTTTAAGCTGTATTGGAGAAAATAATGGGTCCTAACAACTTTGTCAAAAAAAAAAATATTACAATGGTTTGGCTAAGTAATAAAGTCATAATGACTGTTAGCCATAATATAGATTCTATTTATAAATTATACATAGCTATATAATTATTATTTGTTTATATAAGAAATTGTTTAAGATTTTATGATTATGACTAGAGTGCTGGTACATGAAATTCATGCACAGGAGGGTGTATCCCTCAGCCCACCCTGCACCCTCTCCAATCTGGGACCCCTTGATTGATGTCCCAGTGGAATCGGGCCTAAATGGGCAGTCGAACATCCCTCACAATCCAGGACTGCTGGCTCTCAATTGCTCCCCTGTCTGCCAGCCTGATCTATGCCTAACTGCTTCCTTGCCAGCCCGATTGCCCCAAACTGCCCTCCTCTGCAGGCCTGGTCTCTCCCAACTGCCCTTGCCTACAGGCCTGATCGCCCCCAACTGCCCTCCCCTGCCGACCATCTTGTGGTGGCCAACTTGTGTCCACATGGGGGTGGCCATCTTTATTTTTATTAAAAATAATAATAATAAAAACTAACTGGTGCATGTTTGTATCTTTGGCTCAACATAGACATTCAGTAAAACAGGATGAGAACTTAAAACCGACTATATGAGATTCATTGAAAGGACTGTGATGGGGTTTTTTAAAAACATTTGAAGAATTGACATGTTTCATGTGGAGAAGATATATTTTTCTATAAGAGCTCACCCAAGTAGAACCAGGGCCAGTGGCTGTTAGTTCCAGTAAGATAGATTTTCCTTTTTCTATTCAGCATAGGGACTTGGTAACATTCAGAGCAATTCAAAATTTAGGCTTGTTTAAGATAAAACTTATAAAAGAACTACAACAGACCAGTGGGAAATGTTTTAAAAATGTACAACAGAAAACATCGCATAGGAATAAATTTAACAAAAGATGGTCGTGAAAAATGGCAAAACATTGAGAAGATATATTAAAGGAAACCCAAAGAAATGGAGGGGTATGCATTGATCTTGGATTGGGAGACTCAATATTATGAAGATGGTATTCCTCACCAAACTGATCTATACTTAGTGGTAATTTTAATCTAAACCCTTGCAATTTTTTTACAAGCTGATCCTAAAATGTATATGGAAATGCAAAGGGCTAAGGATAGTCAAGGCAATGTTGAAGAAGACCTATAATAGATCACAGATCTCAGCACACTTATAAAGTGATAGTGATTGAAATCTGTGGACTGGTGTGAAGATCCAGCGGAGCAGAGCAGAGTCTGGCAAGCGGCCCTGCAGGAGTGTGATTGATTGAAAGGGAACACAGGGAGGCTCTAGCGGGGCGGCTTTATGCTTTCTTGTTCCGGGCATCTTCACTTCGTGGAAATGCTTTATGCTGTCTGCTTATGATTTGCATGCCTTTCTGTAAATCTTACTCTTCAAGGAAAAGACCTTGAAATATTCTTAAAGATGCAAAATAGCTTAAAATATTCTCAGAGATTAAAAAAAAGCCTTTAGCTAACCATTTGGCAAAGATTTGTGGTGGAATTGAATGATCGCTGTAGCTGAGCTAGTGTGCGGGGGAGAGAGTGTGTGGGAAAGGCCCTTTTCTTCTCAGGGGCTTTAAGTAAGCAGTTGCCAGAAAAGATTTCTGTTCCAAAGGATTGTAAGGAGACGATTATTGACAAACTAAGAGTTTCACGGACATAAATTAATTTGCTAAAAAAATGGGTATTTTAGGAGAGCAGCAGTAAACTAAGCTTGGATTCAGAAGACCTAGCAGATAAGCAGAATATTCTGCACTTTAATTTTGATCTCCTCAAAAGAAGACTGACAAAAGCATTTGTCTTTCTGTTACTTTTGTTGCCATAATTTCATATCCATTTCAAAACATGTTAAATTGGCTGTTTAAAAAGCCAATGTGATTAACACTGAAAGAACAGACCAAGGCTGAGATAAGAGAAGAGAACACAGTGGCCAGACCTGAACACCCAAAGCGGCAAGAAAAACAAATACAGTTTCCTAAGTTCAGAATTACGAGTTCTAAGGCAAATATCATACCTGAAACATGGAATGTTATAGTGACACGTCTTCAGTGGGTGATGTAGCAAAGATGTAAGTTGAATTTAGTAAATTCAACTTAATTTAGCAAAATTTAGCAAAGATGTAAGCTAACTTTCAGGTGAGCTTCAGTAAAGGCAAAGGAGAGTATAATTACTCAGGGACTGTATGTTGAAAGGAACAAATGAATTAACTAGAGCCTCGCCCTCAGCTTTTCAGAGAGTGATTTTCCATTTGTTCCCATCGACAGGTGCCCGAGAAGAACCCAGTGTACCGCAGGCACAGCGTCGGTCGGCTGTCTTTCTGTCCTTTAAGTCCCCAATCCCATGTCTGCCCTTGCGCTGGGAGCAGCAAAGCAAGCTTCTGCCAACTGTGGCCGGAATCCCTGCCAGTAAAGTTTCCAAGTGGAGCACAGATGAGGTATACTTTATTTCCTTTGTCTTCCAGGAACCAGATATGGGAGTACCCCTGACTTAATGAGTGGACGCGGTGAATGGGGTGTGCTGCCTTTTTTCCTGAAAGATCAGAAATTATTCCTAGAGAAGCAACTAAAACATATAGGTACAACAATTTGAACCTGAGCATTTAAAATTCCGACCTCTTTTTAAACTGGAGTTTTGGTCTTATTTTGACAGGTATCAGAATTCATACAGAGCTTACCAGGGTGTGAAGAGCATGGAAAGGTATTTAAAGATGAAGTAAGTGTCCCACTAAATTGCAGCCTGTAACTTCACGGGATCAGAGCACTGACATGCAGTGGAGGGTGAAATGTTTTGCATCGGCAGAGAAGGAAAGAGATGGATTATGTTGAAATTGGCAAGTCGATAGAGAGTTGTCTAACAAGCAGCATTAATCAGTTGTATAAAAATGTCTTTGTATAAACTTAGGTGTAAAGGAAATGTTTGTGCCACTTTATAGTGCCCCAAAGCTGTAGCATTAGACTCATTACTTAAAAAAAAAAAAAAATGAACACAAAAGCTTAATAACATGCATTTATATAGTTTATAGTACAGAAAGAAACAATAAAAAATGGCATAACATTTTATTTTTAACTAGACCCGGTGCACGAAAATTCAAGCACTGAAGGGGGGTCGTTCAGCCCAGCCTGTCCCCCTCACAGTCCGAGAGCCCTCAGGGGCAGGAGGCAACCTGGCAATCAGGGAAAGGTGACACCTCATCACACCTCTGCTGCTGCCACTGCCTGCAGCCAAGCCTCGGCCAGCCCTGGGTACCTGCGCCTCAGGCCAGCCCTGGCTGCTGTCTACTCCTTGGGCCAGCCCTGGGTGGTTGAGGTGCTGAGGAGCCTGGGGGACTCTGGAGGCAGGCACACGGAACTGATGGGACTAGGCACTGCCATTTTGTGGCTGTGGGCATTGCCATCTTTGAGGGCATGGCAGTCAATTAGCATATTGTTGTTGTTGTTAATCCTCACCCGAGGATATTTTTCCATTGGTTTTTAGAGAGACTGGAAGGGATGGGAAGAGAGAGAGAAACATCCATGTGAGAGAGACACTGTTGGGTTGCCTCCCACACTCGCCCTGACCAGGGTCAGAGATTGAGACTACAACCGAGGTACATGCTCTTCACTGGAATTAAACCCGGGACCCTTCAGTTCCTGGCTGACACTCTGTCCACTGAGCCAAACCAGCTAGGGCACTATTGGGTGTTTTTTGTTTTTTAAAACATAGGGATTCTAGCTCGCTCTCTCTCTACCTCCATCACTTCCACTCTGGTCTGAGCCACCATCATCTCCCACCTGGATTAAGACAGTACTTCCTCCTCAGTTTCCCTGCTTCTATCGATATTTTTGCTCCTCTACAGTCTCTGCCCAGCATAGCCAAATCATGTCACTCCTCCATACCTATCCTTTCAGTACTAAGTCAGAGGAAAAAGCAAAGTCCTCACCAGGGCCTACGATCTGACACCCAGTGCCTTCTCACAGCTCCTGGCCACATTTTCTGCTCTGCCCCTTGCTTACATTTTCCATACACTGTCCCTTGCTGTCCCTCAGATTATCCAGGCACACCCAGCTCTTCCCTGGACCTGCCGTGCTTTTCCTCCAGACGTTCCCATGGCTCACTCCCTCTGTTCCGATGTCACTTTCTCTGTTAGTCCTTTCCTGACCATCCTGCTTCACATTGCCACCTGCCCCACACATCCATTTCTGCCCCGACTGCCCACTCATCTCCTCTGACCACCTTTTAGAATTAATTACTATTAATTCATTTCTTATTAATTAATTGTGCTTACAGTCTTCCACTACTCAAGTGTAAACTCCTCCACAGAGAGTTTTTATTTGCTTACTTGCTTGTTTTTGTGTGTTTTTTCCTTTGCTGTATGTCCAAGAAGAGTATTTGTAACATAATAGATGCTTAGTAAGTTTTTAATGAGTGAATATACTCATGTTTTTACACTCTGGGAAAACATTCATGCTGCTGTGGTGTGCAGAGTGAAAGCACTGAGTGCATGGTGGGAAGAGCAATGGAATGGAAGGTGGGAGCCCCCGAACTCCAAATCCTCCTCCTTAGTTTTGGGCCTTTAGCAAGATACTTAATCTCTGCAGCTGGATCAGCCTGGATGTATTAAAAAGCAACAAATGGAAAATAAACGCCATAATACATGGCAGTGATTCCTGTTCTTAGAAAGTACTTTCTCAGTTAAGTTTGCCTTCTCCCAACCGAGGCCTATCCTTATGGCCACGCATCAGAGCAGCTGTATATAATAGACTGGTATTAGCTTCGGGTGATTTTTTCCCTTTTCAGTGTAACCTTAAAAATAATAATCTACCGAAACTTTATTCCACTCCAGCTTTCAGATCTCAGCCTCACTGCCCTCTGAATGATCCTATTCATAAGTCATTCATCATGTTAAACTCTTACGCAGTCTCAGGAGACCCTGTAGAGCCCAAGGTTATAATAAAACAGTTCAGTCTTTGCAGGGAGCTCTTTGGGAAAGGGGTGCTAGCTGACACTTTGATTCAGGATTTGGAAGATTTCTCTCACATCGTTCATTCTGCTAAGGTCTGCCGTGGTTAAGTGAAGTGTTACTACACCTGCCTCTCTGGTTGGCTTTGCTTTATCAGAGGGCTGTCATAACAGAAGCTAATGACCAGAGCAAATGACTCAAAACACATTAGGACATTTCTCAGACCTGCCACTTAATAGGTCTTACCCTCAGAATTTAACATTAGAATGTCTTTCCTTCTCCTTTAAGACAATTGACTGTTTCCTTGCCAGAAAGTAGCAACTTTTCCCACATAATTGTTCATTGATGTGATAAATAATGAATATATCTCTTACTAGTACTGATTAAGTATACAGACAGTTTAGATTTACAAGTGTTTTTATTTTATTTTCAAGGATAGAAGAAAATCTTCAGAAACAGCTACTTAGTTATACCAGCCTTTATTTAATGGTCTGCTTACAGAATTTAGAGTAGTAGTTGTTTGTTAGGGCTGTTATAACGAAGTGCTATGAGCCTGTAGCTTTAACAGCAGAGAGTGCTGTTGCCCGATTCTGGAGGCTGGGAGTCTTTGACAAGTAGGTGTCGTCTTCCCAGGGCTGTGAGGAAAGGACCTGCTCCCAGCCTCTGTGCTTTGACTGTAGATGGTGTTGTCTTCAACCATCTCCTTCTCTATGTCCAAATCGTCTGTCTCTATCCAAATGTCCCATTTTTATAAGGACACCTGTCATCTTGGATTAGGGGCCAGGTAGAATCTAGTATGACCTCATCTTAACTAACTCCATCTACAATGACCCCGTTTCCAAACAAGATCACATTCTGACCCTGGATGGTGTGGCTCAGTTGGTTGAGTGTAATCCTATTCACCAAAAGTTTGCCGGTTTGATTCCCAGTCAGGACACAGATCCAGGTTGCAGGTTTGAGAACCAATCAGTATTTCTCTCATATTGATGTTTGTCTCTTCCTCTCTCTCTTTCTCCAATCAATAAAAACTTTTTCTAAGAGCACATTCTGAGGTTATTGGGAGTTGGGACTTCAACATGAATTTGAGAAGGACACAATTCAACCCATAATGGTACATCACTGTCAATGTTTCCAATGTGCTCTCTAAGGCAGAGAACAAATGTGTGATTTACTTTTTGTACAAAATAGGAAAACTGAAAAAGAAGTGAATTGATTTCTTTTAAGATGGTGGAACAAGTCACATAAAAAGACTCCACTCCTTTGCTCTGCCCACTAAAGTAGACATCTTCATAGAATTGTATCTTTGAACCTCAAAGTACGCTATTCTGCAGGAGCATAGTCTGTTAGTCTTAGAGGAGATGCAGACTGAGAAAGGGGGTTTCTCATGGTTACCCAAGTAGAGGAAGAACCAGTATAGATTCTACAACTCTTAACACCAATCTCATGTTCTTCCAATTACACTCTCAATTGCCCTTATTACTAACTGCCTTTCTTTTGTATGTGAAGAATAATTATGGCCACTCTAGAAATGTTATTTTTCTGTTTGTCTTTTTTTCTTCATGGTGGAAGACTAATTTTTAAAATAATTATTAGCATGTGGCTGATATGTTTGTCTGAAGCCTTTGATTATAGCCACAAATATCTGTGTACCTATTTTCATCTCTAATTTTAGACTAAAACCTGTGATGATAGGAGCTGAATTTGGTGATAGGAACTGAACACACTTTACCAAATTCTTCTTAAGTCAGCACCTCTGAGTATTCATTGGAAGGTATGGGCACCTTCCCTTTTTCTGGGAGCCAATTTCTCAGATGAATGAATTTTTACTCTACCCTCGGTCCACATTTGCTGTGTTGTTGTAGATAAGAAAGATCCATTTACCACAAAATGTTTGTTCACCTGAGCTCTCCTTGTCTGTGCCGTTTTAGTGTTGCTGTATATAAGACAGCCGATAATTTAAACTTGATTATTCCCCACAACACAATATCCAATTAACTCACCGTCTTTTGTCTTTTACTCCCATTTCAGCAAATTGATGGAGAAGCATTTCTGCTTATGACACAAACAGACATTGTTAAAATCATGAGCATTAAGCTGGGCCCGGCTCTCAAAATTTTCAATTCTATCCTGATGTTCAAAGCTGCAGAGAAGAACTCTCACAATGAACTTTGAAGATGGTGAATTTTGGATACCATCAGCTTTCTGCTTTAAAGCTCATGTTTTATTCAAAGCACAAGGACCATTCTAACTCCTCAGTGAGAAGTCTCCAAAACTCAGAAGAGCAATGTGATCAGATTATTTATATTCCTCCAGAGACAATGTATATGAATTCCTAAGAAAGTGCTTGAGCTTTTAACCAGGTACTGTCTAACAACAGTCATCCTTTGGTTCTGTTCACTGAGCTAAATTTATCTTTGTAAATCTTTTTGAGGCTGGGGGTGGGGGGAGGTGGGAGGACAAGGGGGGCTTCATTAATTATTTATGGACAATGGGGGGCAGAGTATGACTTTTTGGCATTTTGTAAACATTGATGAATTCTCTTTCATGTACACTGTTTCTTTTTCAATACTTTCAGGAATCTTTTTTATATAATCAAATTTCAACCTAAACCAAAATAGTGTCTAAACCTGGCTAAGTTCAGCCAGCGGGACAGGTTGGTTATCTGTATTGTTAATTCTGTGCCATATTTTGAATTGCAACATTATGCTAAGTATAACTTTGCAAGTCATGATATTGCCTAACTGCTTGTTATCGTTGGGGCCGAATCGTTGCAAAAAAATCACTTTTCCTTAAATCTATGTTTTTGTTTTTGCTTTTGCACGTATTATGAAATGTTAAACAAATTAATTTCACCAGCATCTTTACTATAATTACCAAAAATCATGTATATAAGTAATGGAATTGAAAAATAAAATATATAAGCATAAATAACTTAGGGGATGCCCTGTGTGCTGGGCTCTTGTAGAGTCCAATGTCATGGAATATGCAGTTACATGGGGGGAGGGGAGGGTTGTAAGGATCTGAAACTATTTATGAGATTATCGTGAGCTTCTCTCTAATTGTCATTGAGGTGCTTTTCAGAGATCGGTGAAGGGCTTGTTCTGTCCATAGAAACACTAATCCCTAAGCAGCTCTGTCCCAGATCTTGCAGTGTCCTCCAAACCCGAAGGTGCTCCTTCAGGGTTGGCTGTAGAGAGAGGCGTGTTGAATTGACCGAGGAGGCAAGGTATGAGGGAACAACACCAGCAAAGATTCTCAAGGCTCACAGACCAGGGAGGCGACTTCCCAAAACAATCACTCGAGACCCTCCATGTTGGAGAGAGCTCCCCTCGCTGTGTGAGCATACGGATGCACTTTAAATGAAAGCCCTTGATTACCTACACCGTGGTAGCTGGTAGCGTTTCTTTTGCAAGAATGCATTTCCAACAGAAAGATAAATTATTTTGTCAGCCTTTGGATGTAATTTCAGGACTGAACATGAATTCAAGGTCTATCTTAAAAGTAGAAAGTAGGTTTGCAGCATGCTGTCTGAATTCTGAGGAAGTTGCACCCCTCTTCAGTTGCTCTTTTTTTTTCTGGTGTAGAATTTCCTTTCCTGTCTCCCCCTTTCCTTCCCCAGTGGAGGTCTGTTAGCAGTCTTTTGCCTATGTCATCATTCCAGGTAAAAACAGGGTCACGATATCTAGTGTTCCTTTCTTTCTTTGCATGAATCTGCTTCAACAAGTTTTGCTTTGTTAGTTTTCGTTTCCCTTTTTTATGTTTTGTTCAGAATTTGTACATTCAAATTGCACTTGTTATATCTGACATGAATGAAATAAAATCTTAATTGCAGATACTTCTGTACATATGTGTGATTTTTAAGAAAACTTACCAAGTAGGAGAACAGGAACAACATCAACCTGGGATGGTGTCACATGGGTACCCACTAGCTGTGTAAAGACTGCATGATTGAGAATTGTTTGTCCAACTATGTCCCAGCTGATGTGAAGAGCAGCAAAGAATTCAAAACTGAAATATACATAGCCCATGAACACAGACAATGTTGTGAGGAAAGCTTGGGGTGGGGCAGGGGCTGAGTGGAAGGGGCAAAGGAGGGGGCAATGGGACATCTGTAATATTGCCAGTAATAAAAGGAAAATTCTATTGTTATGTCAACCATTGGGGATTTTTTTCTTTTTCTTTCTGGTTTAAAGCCTATAAAGCAAAAAAGACTTTTAAATCTCACTGGATTCTAAGCAGCACGTTATGTTAGAAGTAAGGCACTGAGCATCCTGAGAGTGGAGCAGTGTACCTCGTGAAGGGGGAAACCATTCCCCTTTCCCCCTGGGGATATACACACTCAGACTTCACCAAGGAAGTGGGGGTCATGATGGCAGAGAAGATTCTGGAAGGAGAGAAGCAGGCTAGGGGTAAGACACCAGGGGGGGATGGGGAATGTGGAACTGGATGGGATCTTCTCCACCTAAAGTCATTTTCAGACATTTCAGGAAACACTGTGCGAACCCCTGGCTGCCATTCTGCAACCTTTTGATTCTGGAGAGTCAGCCCATGGGTTTGTTCAGTCTCGTGGTCAGCAAATGTAGCTAGTGAGCCACATGCAGCTCTTTGGCCCCTTGAGTGTGGCTCTTCCACAAAATACCACGGCCTGGGCGAGTCTATTTTGAAGAATTGGCATTAGAAGAAGTTTACATTTAAAAAATGTGGCTCTCAAAAGACATTTCCATAGTTGTACTGTTGATATTTGGCTCTGTTGACTAATGAGTTTGCCGACCACTCGGTTAGTCCATCAACACTGGATATTTACCAAGTGGCCAGGCACTGGACACAGAAGCACCATAAAAAGAGATGATGAAGCTTATGTGAATCTGCATATTTGGAGCCAAACTTCAACACAGTTCCCATAGACCCACCACCATCCCTTCGCCCAGCTTAAAGGAACAAAGAGGCTTTTCTTCAACTTCAGCCATAGAGATCGCAGACCTCCAAAGGGAAGGAAGCTTTAAGAACTTGGGAAAAATTAATTTGCAAGAAGAGAAATAAAACCAATCATGAAATTTAAAAAGAGTGTGTGTGTGTGGGGGGGGTAATGAGGAAAATAGAGGAAAGTTCATAAGGAACAGAGGCATATTCTAGTGAAAGGGAGAAATGAAAACTGGAATAGGAGCTAATTTGTGGGAAAGTGACATGTGCCAAGTACTTCTTCCTGCCGATTCCCGTGCAAGTCGTTAGTACACAGTCATTGTAGAAGGGGGCAGCTTCTCCTTCATTGTCTTATCTCACTGGCTTAGCATTTTAATGAACAGTCAAGAGAAATGTTTCCAACCAATGGTCAGACCAAGCAGGCAGCCCACAGCCCCCAAATGTGCAGCTCCTGGGCATTAAGACTTTCAAAGGTGGGCCCATCAAGGTAAGAGCAAGGTCATACCCTGAACCAAACACTTAGCAAATATGAAGTGTAGTACCTTTTAAAAACGAATGCACCCATAATAGTGCAACTTGGACCATGGAATTTCTCAAATCAAATAAAAATAAATAGCTCTTTAATTAAGGATTATTTTATTACAGAATTTCAATATCTAGGATTAAAGACAAAAAGCAGTGAGCCCTGGCCAAGTGGCTCAGTTGGTTGGAGTGTCATCCTGTATATCAAAAGGTTGAAGGTTCGAGCCCCAGTCAGAGGCAACCAATTAATGTTTCTCATATTGATATTTCTCTTCCTTCCTCTCTCTAAAAATCAATAAAAATATGTCCTCTGGTAAGGATTTAAAAAATGCATTGAAATTCATTTACATCTTTGAGACAAAATGATTTTCTAATTATCTACCACAACTCTAATTCAAACAATTTTTTTTAAGTTTCGGCTGTCCCAGAGATCAATTCTAATGCAATATTTAGCATGCTATTAAGTGACCAGATATTGAAACCCTACTTCCTTTTCCTTTTCTTTCATAGAAGGAAAGTAGGGACTGTGCATATCAAAAATCTGTGTCTCCAGAAAGTTGAGGGTGTGGGACAATCGACTTGGACACTGGATCCCAAATACATGAAAGGCAGCTACTAGAGCAGCCAAGGCCGTAACACAGTCGTCCACTTTTGTGAGTCTTTCTTTTTCTAAATACAGAGAAAATTCACAGACATCAAAGTTGAACGGGTTTTTAACTTCTAACACAGGAGTGGACACATGCACCTGAAAAAGAAAAAAGAAAAAAGGGAGGGGGAGGGGCGTGTAAAATAGCTAAACAATACAAGGTGTCTGGATTTATTATAATAAATGAGCTTGTTGCAAATTAGCATATTTGTAAAAATGACAAAACATACTTCCAAACAGACCACCATCCTGCTTTCAAATATGAAGATGTGAAATGTCAAACCAGCGATCACTGATACAGTCCATACCTTCTCATTCACAATGACAAAAAGGCTGGGATCATCCCCAAACACATCTGGGAGGAGTAAACATGTGGCCGTCATCTTCATATCTGTCAAAGCAAACATGCTTACAGTCCAGGTAAAATGAGCTTTTCCTAACTGTTGTAGCAAAGCCAGTATAAAGCATCTTGATTTTTAAAAGATTGTTACCATCTACAGAGAACAAACACACCTTAGATGGGTGTTTCACAGCCATTTCTTCCCACTTTTTTTTAATTAAGATATTATATGTGTACATATCTTACCTTTGCCCCACCACTCCACTCCCATACATGCCCTCAACCCCCAGTGTTTTGCGTCCATTGGTTATGCTTATATTCATGCATATAAGTCCTTCGGTTGATCTCTTATCTCCAGCATCTCTCCCTAACCTTCCCGCTGTTTGATGCTTTACTGCTTTTGTATCTATCTTTTTATTCATCAGTTTATAATGTTCTTTATTATCCACAAATGAGTGAGATCATGTGGTATTTTTCTTTTTTCACAGCCATTTCTAACCAACATGTCCATCTAATAAACATTCAAGGTCTCCTGTCCCCCAGATCTCTGTCTTTTTATCAAGATCCACCTTGTGATCTAGATTATGAAATGATCAGATTACTGGTTCCCTAAATATACTTTTATAGGATCAAGTGTCCTTTTTGTATTTACACCCCAACACCTCCTATTTGAGAAATTCTTTTTCTATCCCATATGTTGTTTCACTAAATTTTACTCATTATAAAAACAGAACTTTTCTAACCATCCTGAATCATACAGATGACTCAGACCAGTTAGCCCCACCCTCAGGCTTACTAACATTTCAACATGTGTTCATCTGTGTGCTGTTTCATTTTTTCTTGCAGCGCAATGTTGATTGGATGGTCCACCACTGAAAAAGAAGTCAGTATATTGTCTGAGTAGGATTCCAAAATGTGCCTTGTTTTCTTATAAATATCTATTCTTGTAAGAAGTTGAAATTCTTTGAACATCTGAAAGAAGAAAATGATATGAGATCACTAGAAAAGCAAACAGAAGGGAAGTAAATAACTCTTTAGGATTATTTTAAACTTTGAATGTAGTTTAAAGTATATACCAGATATGTGAGTAGCTTTAGTAGAGTAGAGATTTCGGACAGAGAAGGAGGAAAAAATGAAAGTCTGAAGTGAGCAGAAAAGATAAATAATGAACATGGCAACCTTCAACTGGTAGAATTAAAACTTTGGATGCAGACTCAATGAAATGGGTATTTATTCATATTTTAGCTATTTAGGTTACCTAACTAAGATTAAGATTCTAGGATCTAACATTGCTTTAGGTAAAAACTACATTGTTTAAGTTTTGACAGTGTCCAACAAGTGCCAAAAGGAAGAAAACTTAGATTTTAAGAGGCAACCCTTGAAAAATACCAAAACTTAGTGTTGTAAGGGATCCTAGAGAAAGAGAGCTTTGGAGTCTGTAAGATCAGACAGAAATAAACTGTGGCAAGATATTTGAGTATAAGGTGGAAGCAAAACCAGTTTATCTTTACAGAACCCCCTGTTCTTAAAGCCACTGGCCAAGTGCTTTCCCTCAGAGACTTCCACCATCACTGTCCTCCTCCCCACTTCTTGTTGACAGGGAACTCGAAATCTGAAGGCAGCCAGTGCATGTCATTAGAAATAGATCCCAGAGCCGAAACCAGTTTGGCTCAGTGGAAAGAGCGTTGGCCTGCGGACTGAAAGGGCCCAGGTTCGATTCCGGTCAAGGGCATGTAACTTGGTTGCGGGCACATCCCCAGTAGGGGGTGTGCAAGAGGCAGTTGATCAATGATTCTCTCTCATCAATGTTTCTAACTCTCTATCCCTCTCTCTTCCTCTCTGTAAAGAATATATATATACATATATATATATATATATACATACATATATATATATATACACATATATATATATATATATATATATGAAATGACATTTACATCTTCTAATTATCTACCACAGAAATTTTCACCAGATGGTCCTAGTTGTAGCCAGTGGGGCCTCACACACTTTATTGAGATTCACACTTGCTGCATAGTCCTGTTTCCACTTCAAGAGGAAAGAGACAAATCAATTTGGACACAAGAATCAGAGAGTGTTATACGCGAATGAAGATACCTGATAAGGGCACTTCAGGAAAGGAAACATCTTAAGGATGTCCTTCAGAGGCGTTCTGCTGCCAATCAACTTCCTTCTTATTTGCAAAGTCTGGCTCATCCTCTTATCGATTTCTCTCCAGTCCTTGACTGTTTTCACATATTCTTGCTGGAACCAGCTAATATGTTCAACTACTTCAGAATCTAAACAAACAGCTTCTTCCTGAAAAATATTTTCACAACATCAATGTGTTGCATACTTAACATTTTAATTTTACCCTTCATGAAATTTGAATTATAGGCTGTATCGCACTCATTTTTTATTTTATATAATATAAATCATAATAATGCACTCATAAGATGTGTATCATCATGTGTAATTACACTTGGCACTGAACATGGTTAGTAAATTGACAGTCTAACTGTGAACAAATCAGATAGCCAATTACTGTGGAATTATCTGTTCTCTTGACAGAGCTATGAGTAACTTCATTTTCTACATACACTTTTACATGGCAGTCTAGATTGTCCAGAAGGTTCACACTTAACAGGAATGCTTATTTTTACGCATGCAATTTTAGAAGACAAAATATTAAAAGATTAAAAGGTGTTAAATTAAGGTTTGTTATTGTTTGCATTTTTTTCTTCTTAAATGCTTTTTTATAGTTGCAGGACCATGTCATGTAATCCAAATTCAAAATAATCAGAGTCGGTACTCTGTGTTGCTAAATCATTGCACTGTCAATTATATTCACTGTACATTTGGGTACACTGGCTAGGGTCGAGTAGAGTGGCTAAGAAAGTCTCGACATATTCTCATTAAAAACCAAAGACAGTGGTGGTGAAATGTTAGGATTTACCTATTCAGGTTGGATCAAGTTGGAAATAGAATTGAGAGAGCATGAGATTTAGCTTCCCCAGTTGGTAGCTTGGACATCCTCCCTAAGAGGTTCGATCTACTTTATTAGTGGGGGACATTTCTGTTTCTGAGGATATTTGGGTGCTGTGAGACAGTTAAAGAATATTGGCTTTTAGATAACTACGGTAGCACCCATGTGGACATTACGTATAGCAAACCTGCTACTGAGCTAGGGACTCCAGGCCCTTGCTGGGTCCTCAGCCTGGCATTCCTCACAGTCACCTGGGTGGCATGGGATTCCTTCTGGATAAAGTTATAGAGTTTTGTATCCATGCATGTGGATTACTTTCCTCCTGACACCTTGACACTACTGGTACCTAACCCTCCAACGTGAGTATTAAAATTTTCTGTAGCAATAAGAACAGCAAGAAACAAGATGCATTTTAAGATACAATCCAGAAGATATTCAAGGATCCAGAATGTTAATGTTTTTCTAGTTTCTTTAAAGGTTGGAAAAGAATAAACATGAGATGTTCAATAACAAACTTTGCTCAAAATGGGTTCGGAAGATCTTTTTTGGAACTATTGTCATCACATTATTTGCAATGCAAAACACAGATTTTCTTGCTTTCTGACCACACACCAAAAGGATATCTTATTTTGTTTTAATGATTTCAAATGTTATTGCTTATTAGCCCCGAATCAATCAACCAATCAATGAGTTGTCAGAACAGTTCAAGATTCAATCTTACTTTTATTTGGGCAATTTTCATTTCATCAAATCTGATATTAGCAGGAGATTTCCTTCTCTGGCCTCTTCGATGTCCAAATTTACACTTATTTCTCATCACCTGTTCATCATCTTCTATGGGTCTTCTCACATATTTAAAGCGATCTTTCAGGGCTCGTTTCCATAGAAACTGTGTAAAATAACAAAAGAGAACCGTTGCTCTTGATGGAGATTTAAATAATACCACATAAACAATAAAACTTTTTACTAATCTGTCACCTTTGGGCTTCAAACCTTTTCACATCACAGTAATAGAAACATTAACTCTATCCTTCCATTTACCCACACAACAATCCTATGATATTGCTATAAAAATTACAGTCCCTAAACTAAAAATATTTTTCCAGTAACATATAGCTATTGAGTAAATATGCTCGCTATTGATTTTAGATTCTTTAATTTAGGGGTGTCGAACTCAATCAGAGAAGGGGCCAAAATCTAAAATCCAGCCTAAATCGCGGGCCGAATGGTTTACTGAACAGTCATAAACTGTCATTGTGATGGAAACGCAGCGGAGTGCAGTGATGACAGTGCGGTGCGGGCCACATTGCAAGGCCTGGCGGGACGGATTTGGCCCGCGGGCCTTGTGTTTGACACATGTGCTTTAATTCCTAAAATTGTATAATTTTCACCTTATCTTCTGTCTTCATAAAGTACTCCACTTTTTTAAAAAAAAATTATTTTTCAACTGCAGTTTACATTCAATATTACTTTGTATTAGTTTCAGGTGCACAACATAGTAGTCAGACAATCATATACTAATAACCAATGTGCCACTCTGATGGGCGATATTGAAAATGGGGGAGAATATGGGTTTGGATACATGGAAGAGATAATTGCACCATCCTCTCAATTTTGCTGTGAACCAAAAAATAAAGTCCATTTAAAAAATAAATAAATAAAGGAACACAAAGAGAGAGAAAGTATCAAAAAGAGGAAAGAGAGGGAGGGAGAGAGAGCACAACTAATTAAAGGGGAAATGAGACATAAAATTACTAAACAGTGCAAGGCTATTATTTTTTTTTTTTATTGATTTCAGAGAGGAAAGGAGAGAAAGAGAGATAGAAACATCAATGATGAGAGACAATCATTGATCAGCTACCTCCTACAAGCCACCTACTTGGGATGGAGCTTATGGGACTTGAACCAGGATTCTTCAGTCCGCAGACCCATGCTCTATACACCGAGTCAAACCAGCTAGGACAAGGCTATTATTTTTACGTGGGCTGAGATTAACAAAACGGTCACTTACAAAGCCACAGCCGTCCTCATCCAGGAAAGGGTGGGCCTGCAGCAGGGCGTTGACCACATCATTATACTGCTGGGTGCTGGGGTACCTGCTCAGGGCAACAGGACATGTTTCATTCCAAGCTGCCCAATTCCTGCCTTTACAATGAGTCTAAATCACACTCCCTTTCCTTCAAATCTTTCCATGTAACAACGGAGACATTCAAATATCGGGCAATGTTAGCCTTACGACCAATATGTCATCCAAAATCTGAAAGGGTTGGTTCCCAGTAACTTCTGTTTTACTCTGATAATAGACCCTCTCGCAAGGCAACCAGCCAGCCCTGTAATTACTCACAGTGAGCCTTTCAGATACTTGGTCATGTCGGCCTGGAGAAACTCAATGATCCTTATCCTCATGCTGTGGTCGGGACACTTCTGCTCTGCTAACATGCATCTGACGTCATAGGGAAACTCCGGTAACACATAGGACTTCGTCCCCTTCAAGGCTTTATTCCTTGCTAGAACATGTTTCACACTTCTTCTGTTAAATAAAAGCACGCAGAGTGAGATCTTATTTCAAACATACCTAAATTATTAATCTTCTTTATCCTGAGAACTTCTGATATATAGCATTCCCTGATACCTAAATATGTGGAAGTCATCAATCTGTCTTCCATCCATTCATCTACCCACAAATGTTTGAAGGCTCATTAGGTATCTCTGTTTTCCTTTCCTTTACACACATAAATACTTTAAGTTTGAGAGGGGGAAGTCATAATAATACAGGCTTTGAATAAAGCCTGAGTTGGGAAGAATGTTATTCCATCTATCTTGAAAAAAATAGTATGTAGCACATAGCTCAAAACTGAACAAGCAAAAAGAGTAAGTTGCAATTCAGCAGTAAGGCAAAAATATGTCTTAGCAGCTAAGAAAATTCCACTAATTAATTTATCCTGCTGCTGTTTATAGCGAAATATAAGATCAACTTAATTTAGTTGGTCTTGGCTATTTTAAAGGTAAACTTAAGTTCTAAGTAAAAAAACAAGTATCAAAGCTTGGCTGGTGTGGCTCAGTGGTTAAGCATCAACCTATGAACCAGGTGGTCACGATTCAATTCCTGGGCAGGGCACATGCCTGGGTTGCAGGCCCAGTGTCTCATAGGGGACCAGCAGGAAGTAGCCGATCAATGACTCTCTCTTATCATTGATGTTTCTATCTCTCTCTCCTCCCCCCTTCCTCTCTGAAATCAATGAAAAAATATATATATTTTAAAATATCAGGTACTCTGATTTCATTCAGATGCAAATTTCTACCAAAGGTTACAGAAAGCTGTAGCTACCGAAGGCAGATCAGCAGTTGCCTGGGGCTGGGGGTGGGAGAGGAGATGAGCTGCAAAAGGGAGCGAGGGAATTTTTTAGGGTAATGGACATGTTCCAAGATGGGCTGTGTTTAGGGGTGCACAACCAGATAAATCTACTAAAATTAACTGAGCTGTGCACTTCAATTGGGTGAGTTTTATGTTACATAAATGACACCTCAATAAGGCTTTTTATAAAATTAAGTATCAGAACCCCTTTAAAACTTTAAAGTTAGTGACTGATCATTAAGTGTGTAAAAGAAGACTCTAATAGTACCATTTCCAAGTCACAGATACCCAGAGGCACTAAGTAGTTTTCAATCCACTTCACGCGCAAGAGTGATTGGAATGAAAGTAAAGAAATAAAGGCAAAGTACAAGTCAAAAACAGAAAGAGTTCCCAAATTAGCCTGAGTGGGTCAATTTTCTGGCACTACCATGGAAGCCTTAGTAGTCCTGGGAAAATACCCATGAAAATACTGAGGTCAGGTTCCTTTAGAAGGTTAGGTGATATTTCATAAGAATGCATGCGATACAAGGAAACATGGGGAATAAAGAAAAGAGGAGAAAGCACCCTCCTCTCTTTTTATGACAAGCTCCCTCCTTTATTTCCTCTTCGGCAGTCACTATACCACAATATGTGCTAGCTAAAACAAGCACACCAACAATTTAACACTGGATTCAATACAGCAACAGGTAATTTCCAGCTTCAATCTGTGCTTCAACCCGAACTATTTCCCAGGATGTTACTCTCTCATTTCATTCATTCACTCCATCAATATTTATTGCTGTTGACTATATGGCAATTACTCTTCTGCAATCCCTCTTTCCATTCTCATGAGCACTGACATGTTTTGTTTAGGTCCCCAGGTGAATCTAATGGGATAGTCCATGTTGCCCTGCTCGCTGGCAGAGCACAGAGCCTCCTCACCTCTCTAATACCATCTCCCGCCATTCCGTTTTCTCTGCCTCAATCTCTCCCTTCCCAAAAGTACTTACTCCAAACGGGATCCCCTGTGCTTTTTCAGGTGTTTGTACATTTGCATTTGCTGGTAATTTGCTATGAATGTCATTCTCTCCTGCCCCATTTTCCTTCAGTGAATTTCTAATCACCTTTCAAAATCCTCCCTCAGTTTTTGTGAAGCTTTTTCCCCGAGACCTTCTCCAAATGCACTTTCCTAAAAGTCTTATTTCTCCCTCTTCTATGCTATTTCTGTGCCCGTGAATTTCTATTTCTGCATACTTGCTTAGTATTGCCACAAATACCTTACATATCTGTCTTGTCTACCAGCCTCTGAGTTCCCCTAGGTAAGGACTATATTGCATCCTCTGCCTGCCACTGTCTAGCTCATGGTTTATATTCAGGAACTTTTAGGCTGAACAAAATGGGAAAAATAGATTAGAAATCAAGCTCACATTGGATCTCTCTAAAGACTTCATATGACATTTATTAGAAACGGACAGGAGTCAGAGAATTATCTAACAGTAATGCCAGCCCAATTGCCCAGACTCTACAAGTCCTGACTGTCTGGGTCCAAAGATATCCTGCACTGAACAAATTATCAGTTCTGTCTTAGGAAGCCAATATTCCTCACTTCCTTTGGGTCTCTACTCAAACATCCTCTAGTCAAAGTCCAAGGAAATATATTTAATTCAATTAAGATGAGACCAACAGAAATACTTCCTATTTCTGTTGGTCTCATCTTAATTGAAATACTTCCTATTTCTGTCCCTTCATGTGATAAAAGTTTGAAGAGGGACAGCTCTACCCCTGGCTTCCTCTGGTGCCAGGAAATGCTTTTCTTACAACAAACTCCCGTTGTCTTAAATTAAAGTGGGTCTGTGGTTCTCACACCTAAATATAGGAGGTCATTTTTAGACATGCTTAACTCTGAAGTGTTCATGGGCAGCAGGGGGTCAAACGGATTACGGGAGAATTTATGGTTAGACAGATATGGCAGTATTCGGCTCTGGTTTTGAAACCTTCCACTTTCTCTCCATGTCTAAGCCAGTCCTATTTTCGCCTCCCCTCAGTACTAGTAGGTGCTGTGAAGACACAACCACCACGAAGCACGAGGCTGCTCCTGTGACCCTATGAAACCACATCAATAATATCCTGCCCTGTGGTGTCACAGGACCACGATGAGGATAGAATACCATCCGAGGAGCTAGAAAAGAGAACAGACTTCTACATGAATAGAAGTCTGCACCCCCATCTCCCATCTTCCTTAGGGAGAAGAAAGAAGTCCTAAGGAAGGAAGAAACGCTACTTGGAGCAGTGCTGTGCAGATGGGTACTCAGAATGAGTGCCTTCCACGTGCTTCCACTGAGCTAGCACTGGGCAGGCATTCTCTATATCAATGCTCATAAGAGAACCAGGAGGAAAGTATTATTATTCTTCCCACTTTGCAGATGAGAATACCGATTCACAGTGGCTCTAGGGATGGATCACTGGGACTAATTATTGTTTTCCTGTCTCTGTTCAGACCTGAACAGAGGGGACTGGCTACTTTTGGAGGCTTTGTGGTGAAAGGGGTGCTTGAGAACCACATTCCTGGGTCCGGTTCTCTAAGTCTATTGTTGTCCTTTGTTCCAATGTAGCCCGTGTATTGAAATATTACACCATCTAAGTCCAGTGTAGGAATACAGTAGTATCTCCTTATCTGCACAGGATCCCTTCCAAGACGCCAATGGATGCCTGGAACCATGGGTAGTACTAAGGAACCATTTATATAGATTGTTTATTTTTTTATATAACTATGATAAAGTTAAATTTGTAAATTGGGCACAGTAAGAAATAAAAAACAATAACTAATAACCAGATAGAACAATCTTATATAATAAAAGGCTAATATACAAATTGACCCAACAGCACAACGACCAGTTGCTTATGATGTGACTGACCACCAGGGGGCAGATGCTCAACACAGGAGCTGCCCCCTGATGGTCAGTGCGCTCCCTCAGGGGGAGCACTGATCAGCTAGAAGCTGCACTCATGGCTGGCGAGCACAGCGGCGGTGGTGGGAGCCCTTTCCTGCCTCTGCCAACAGCACCAAGGATGTCCAATTTCTGCCTTAAGCCCGCTCCTCACAGGGAGCTGGCCTAAGCCAACAGTCAGACATCCCCCGAGAGCTTCCAGACTGAGAGAGGGCACAGGCCTGGCTGAGGGGACCCCCACCCCCAAGTGCATGAATTCATGAGCTGGGGGCCTCTAGTTATAACAATAAAATAAGAGTTATCTGAACACAAGCAATACAATATTGCCAGTCAATCTAAAAACTGAGATAGCTACTAAGTCACTAAGGAAGAGATAGACAGTTGGACACTAGACATAAGGATAATTTACATCCCAGGAGGGATGGAGTGGGATAGCGCAATATTTCATTATACTACTGAAAACACTGTACAATTTAAACTTATGAATTGTTTATATCAGGAATGTTCCATTTAATATTCTGAATAGTAACTGAAAACATGGAAATAAAAGCTGTGCTTAAGAGGGGACTACTTTATAAGGAAATGTTTACCAAAGCACTTCCATTAAGGAAAGTCAAGTTATACCAACAGCTACAACATTCAAAACAAAAACAAAGACTCCTCAAATGACACATTCAATCTATAGGACATTATTTTGTGGCTACTGCCAATCACTCTGGACAGTTTACAACAGATAAATCCTCTTTTTCCCTTAACAATGTATACTTGAAAGATGAATATAATTCTCAAAAATTCACTTTTCCAACACAAAGATCAGAAAATTTAACCTTCATTTTTTGCCAAATACCTGCATCATTCTATAAAAAAAAAAAAAATAAATAAATAAAAAAATTCCCTTAAGGAAAACAAAAATTTCATGTATGTGAAGTATTAAAAAAAAAAAAAAAAAAAAAAAAGGCAAATATTATCATTTGGCTTTAGATGTTTAGAAGCTGGTAATCCCACCTCTGTTTCAGTACTCTTTGGTCAATTAGTCTATTAGCAAGGTTTTCAGCTGGACAAAAAGTTGGCGTCTGCTCCCCGTGGTTGGCTGGACTGGAGGACGGTTTATCCCTGTTACCAAGAAAGAAGAGGTGGGGGAGGGACTAGTCAACAGGAGCCTCAACCATTGACATCATATAAACTGTGAAAGTAGGCAGTAGCCCATAGTTAACCTATTATAGAATCTGTGTCTACTCCCAAGACCCACATTAGTCAAGACTAAGACAACTGAAAGAAGGACCCTCTGGGGTCATCTCACTCAGTAGTTCATATATACCAGGAGACTGACTGATGCAAGTTCACGATGCTATTTTCACCAATCGGTCATATTTATAATGGTGGCAAGATAATATTTTCCTTTAAAATGATGGTGATAATAAAATGTTCCTTTCTTGGTTAATATTCTTATTTGGGGGGGGGGGGGAGAAGAAGAAGAGGGGAGGAAGAAGGGGAGGGGGAGGGGTGGCAGGGGGATAGAATTATAATGTCAGCTCCCTTCTCCACTCCCTGCCATTTTGGGGGACCTTTAATTATCTGTGAGATCTCATAATGGTAGAACCACAATCCACTAACTCCTTCAAGTTATAACAATGAGAGATGCAACTACAGTCCAGAGGGAAAGAAACTTTCTCTCCACCACAAGCTACTCAACAGCAGTGCCAGTAGTTGATCCCAGTTTTTCAACTTTCCATCCAGTGATTTTTCTTCCAGCTTCAACAAGAGCAACAACCAAAAGCAGCTGCAAATATTCCTACCTATCATAAATTCCTATCATTTGCCTAAGTCTGAGTAGGATGTTAAAGTCCTACAAATGCTTTTCAAAATAACATACCAGGCACCCATGAGCCATTAAGTGAAATATGCGCTCAAGTTGAAACCCTGATCTTGAATCCCTCTTCTTGAATGTCATTATAGACTCTTTAGAAGGAGTCTGACGCACCATTTATTCTATTTGCTTCATTTTACAGTTGAAAGAAAAGTCGAGCAACTCTCCAAGGCTATATGGGTAGCTAATATCAGAACAGGTGTTTGAAATCAAGTGTTTTCATAACCAGCTACAGGGTTCTTTCTGCTACACCAAGTTTCCACCTTTATTAAGCACTTTTCGAGAGGTTTTAATTAAATTGCATATTTTTGTGCCTCTTTCTATTATGATTCCTACGTGACAATATATTTGACAATATGCAAATGAGCCGAAAACATTTTAACCAACTACAACTAGTAAGCCCCACTGCAACTGTGGTTTTGCACCAGAGTAATTTGACCTGAATACAAGACAACACAATCCTTAAAGTAAATCACCAACTTACTGGGTAGAGTGAAAAAGCTCCCACTCCTAAATCCCTGGACAACCAGTGTTCCACGTCTTGGCTCCATTCAAATAAAACCTTTCTTAACCAGATTAGCAATGCTTAATATTTAACCGAAGACTATTTCGGTCCAGGATAAGAAGAGATTTTTTTCCCCCTCAAAAATGTATGATACTCCTACCATCCGTGTGAATAACAGAGAGGTAGGTACTGAATGACTTTTCACAGCCCACGGAAGAAGCAGCAGGAACGTCAATATTTAGCAATCAATCCAATTCAGTGGTACAACCAGGAATGAATCCGAGATTTCCTGGCAGTCCAGTTAGTTCTCATTTACTAGAGAACATTATCCACGGATTTGCAGTGGAAAGAAACAAGGCTGTCTGTTTACTTCCAAGTTGTGCTTAAGGCCATATCAAGATTCCAGTCAGCTGAAGAGAACTTCCAGCTCAAAGTCCAACTCATCCAAGAATGCCGGGAATTCACGTGGAGCTCACCCTCCCATTGCTGGGAAGGAGTGAAAGCATGCAATGGGGCTTCATCGAAAGTCACCTATGAAGAATGTGCTTTTGCACAGTTATGTCAAAACAATGTCGAATCTTCAGACTAACCACAGACCATTCCTTCATGCCTACCAATCCCCTCCCATGTCCCAAATGTTCAAATGCTCTAGGAGTCGAATTACTTAAATGAGGTCTCTCTAACTTTATATTGCTTATCAGAGAGCAAGACACAAATATCTGTTATTACAGTTATAATCTGAAATAAACTGAAGTAAACACATAGATTGGATTTCAGCAAACATCACTGTCCTATTTTTAAAATGAATGCATACCTGGTCTGCAGCAATTATTTAACATTAAAAACCTTGCAAAAAAAAAAAAGTCTCAAAATATGGAAAAACCTAATCAGAATGCCTGAAATATTCCTGGGGCATAGATCTGTACAACGAACATTTTAATTTTAAAGTTCCTTTTATCATTCCTTTTCCTTGCAAAAGTCAGTGATAAAAAAAAAACACAAACAAACAAACAAACAAAAAAACAGACAAATGAAAACATCCCTATACCTCAAAGCCACCATAAGTTTTCTACATGATTTTTGTGGGATGCTATTATAGCCTTCAGCATTCCAAGAATACTCTTGAGAAACTAGAAATCCTTATAGCAAAAGTCTTTAGCCAATTATTGCGAAGGCCTCTAGCAAATTATATGTAAAGGTTCTAGAGGAGAATATAAATTAGCCACTGAAAGGAATCCTTGACAAATACACACACACATAAATAAGTAAAGCAAAGGAGCAGCAGAAATACCTTTCCCAAACCTTGATTTTAAGACCTGAGGGACAGCAGCGATCCATTTCTACTCACATTGTATGTATGTTTCAACTGCTTGTTACAGAGTTTTCTATATAGGAACTCCTGGCTTATAGGGCAACCCTAACCATTGGAGTCAGTGTTTAAAAAGTGGTGAATTAAAAAAATATATATATATATATATATATATATACACACTATATATATATATATATATATATATATATACACACACACACACATACACACACACACACACAGATACATACACACACACACACACACACACATATATTATTATTGTGATTAATAAAACTTTGCAAAAAGTGTCCTTTATGTGGATGTTAGGAATACTGTACACCCAAGCTAGCGGGAAATGGTCACAATTTTCAAGGAGTTTTAAACCCAAATGTCATGCATCGAAAATGAGGAATTCAAGCAGACTTACTCTGGGGCTACTGCTGCTCGCAGGACCAGAGCTGATGCTCTAGGGATTCCTGGGGACTCCAGTCCTTGATGCCTCTGCTTATATCTTTTAATTAAATCCATCAGAACCGCCTGGTGTCCAATTTTTTTTACCAGTTGCTGAACCATCCGATCATTAAGTGCTAGAAGAGCGGCCCCACTTACTTCTTCCTCTGGGAAAGAGAGAGAGAGAGAGAGAGAGAGAGAGAGAGAGAGAGAGAGAGAGAGAGAGAGAGAGAGAGAGAGAGAGAGGGATTACACGCCTGCCTGGAAAAGCACAGCAAAGCACAACATTCTGAGCAAAAAAATAATAAAATAAAATAAAATAATTTTGGGTGTTACAAGAATCATCTACACTTGTCCTCTAGTGTTATAAAATGCTCTGTGTTTATAAAGATAGAACACAATTCCAAACTTTATCTAAGAAAGTACTAGAACACGGAGTCACAATAAACTCATATTCCTTCCACATTATCACCTTCCCACTTCTGATTCTTTCTTACAGGCATTATTTTTATAAGGAAAAAAAAAAAAAACCTTTTCAGGAAATTATTCCCAATAGTACCTGCCACACAACAGTTCAATACTTGTAAATCCAGCACTGCACAAAATGCCTACTGCATTATTTAAGGACAAAAGTGGCATTAAATAATATCAAGTATGTGCATTATATATCTCTTAAGACTATTTTATTTGAGTTCTTTTTGAAATAGTACAGTCTCCCGTGAATACTAGGTCAAGTGCAAACAGTCAGAAAATGAAAGGTCCCCGCAGCAGCAAGTCCACATCCCACTCACAGGCATTAGGCAACAAAAGCAATTACCAACCACAAAGGACACCCAGTATCTAGGCTGCTCAATTAACGTTTAAAAAAAAAGTGTAAGCAACTCACCTTGAAACCTATGAACTAGCTCTCCTAAGTTTTTCTCCACCAGCCAACTGCAGACCTGGTCAACTGACCAAGTTTCCATTGCTGTATCCTGTAAATAAATACACCTATAGAATAAAAGATCAGAGAAGGATTCTTTTAGTTTTTCTTTCTGATTGCTGTTTTGTTTTGTTTTGTTTTGTTTTATTTTAATTTTGTTTTTAACCAACTGGCTCTCTAATTTCAGCTCCTTCCTTTGGGAGAGTCTTAATTCTAACCTTCTTTCAAATTACGATTTTCTGAATATATCTAACAGATGCTAATAAAACACAAATTCTCTTTAAAAAATGAGACCAATTTGAACCTATTTCCTAGTCTCATTGCTCACATTCTCCACCTTCTCCTACTTTTTTTCCACAGGCATCCCTCAGCTGTACTAACAGGCAGCCACAGACTACTATGGTACCCAATCCTCTACCATTAACACTCAGAGTTCTTCACAAAGAGAAGGAAGGTGTGAAATTCACCACTACTAGGCTCATCAGGAAGTGGTTGACATTTACAAAAGGGTTGGGCTGGGGAGGAAGGGAGGAAGGATGAGAAAAAGCCTGACAGAAATACTTTTTAAACCAAGACTGGTTAACCCCTTGTAGCTCCCCAGCTAGCAGAGACAGTTTATAGCCGCTTTGGATTGCTGTGGGATGTGAGCAAGAGAAGGAAGGAAGTAGGAGCCAATTTCTCAGGAGAACCTGAATATTTCTTTCCTTTCTTCCATTCAGCTCTAGAACATTATTAAACACCATGATGATTGTTAAGATAACTAGGGAAAATTAAGATGATTGAGAAAACATTTTTTAAAAATTAAGTTGGGCAGAAATTGGGAAATTAATATTAGTGTACTAATAATCATAAGTGAAAGAAGTGCATACAGAGTTGAAACTAATACTTAACTATTCGGGTATGTTTGCATGCCACTATTCTTCTGTAATCACTTAGAAAATTAAAACAAGTATCCCAATTTCAATAATTTTTTTCTACTTCCCTTAGGCAACTCATTCTCTTTTATTTTTTATCATTCAATCCAAATTACTTTTAGTGCACTGGGGAGAAACAGAAAAGAAACCAAAGCATTTTAATATTACTTTCTAATTCACCTTTCAATCAAAATGCTATGCTACAGATTTACTTGTACATACAGACAGGAGAAAGCTACTCTTAAGAAAATGGAATGGTAAGGAAAGAAAAGGTTTTTATTAGCTCCTATCCTTAAATTTTATTGCTAGAAGTTCTCTCAGTTGACATTGTATTTTTCATTTCTGTGTATTTGAATTTCCACATCAGAGAGTGGTTGAAGGGAAGACATTTACGTTTTGTACCTGACAACCTGAAATGGTAGCAGCCTTCAAAATCACTTCCTAGAAAACGAGCCTGCTTCAGAGTAATGAGCCACATTCTCCTAAGTGTTCACAAACGCCACGTTGCAGAATTGAAAACAAGGGTTAAATACAGAAGAACGCCTCTGAGAATCACAGCCCTGGGTTTAATTTGCTCAGACAGCAGTAGCCACAGCACTCCTCCCCTAGGCTAAGCAGTGAGCACAGGGTGTGAAAAGTCATTATTTGCGAGGCTGGGGTGTAAATTAAAACTCACACCTTCCTCTCACACTTCTGGCTTCCTTGTGAAGAGTGGGGTTTAGTAAAAGAAAAGAAAGAAAAAAAGGAAACAATTCTCTAAACTCAGAGATTAAAAGGTATGCAGAGCAGAAGGCACTGCCCTGCAGCCATCAAGGAGAAATGAACATTTGAGGGAAAAATAAAATCGAAAATAAAATGAGTACATGGAAACCCTCTCATGTTTTAATTTCCCAAATTTTTGCCTAGTTCTACTTCTTAGAAAAACAGAACACATTTCAAATTATAACCTCATACAAACACAATAAGATTTTTTAAAAATATGTTTTTATTCATTTCAGAGAGAGGAAGGGGAAGGGAGAGATAGAAACATCAATGAGAGAGAAACATCACACCTCCCACTAGGGATCCAGCCCTTAACCACAGCAAGTGCCCTGACTGGGATCAAACTGGTGACCTCCTGGTACATGGGTTGATGCCCAACCATTGAGCCACATCCGCTGAACCACTATAAGATTTTTTAAAAAGTGCTATAGTTCATACCCATTTGTTTTTCTGAATATTTAGGAAAATAGTATCGTTGCCTAGGTAATGTAACTTTTTAAAGTAGCAACCTTACAACTTCCTCTCATGTAAATAATAGATGTATTATTTATGGTTTTATGCATGATAAAGGAATAAAAGATATGTCAAACGAGAAAAGACACATCAGCAGCTTGACTGCATTTCCAGGAGTTTCAGAAACATCTGAAAAGATTTTGAAATGTGAGGACAGTATTTTAACTAAATATTTTAAGACACGATAATATAAAAGGAATAAAAGTAAATTATAATAGCATTATGTATGACTACTCTAGCCTAACCATTCTCATTACTTAATTACATTATACTTCAATTAAAACATTTGTATTAAATATGAAGATTCTCATCTAATTAAAGCCAGGAAGAGCTAAGATTTTAGCCTAGGTTTGGGCAAATTTTATTTAATAAATGTGTTAAAACTCCAGAGGAAGATAATAGTGCAAACTGCTGTGAGGTTTATAATCTTCAAAAGCAATGTAGCTTATAACAACATGACCCTGAGCACTTTTAAAGAAAATATTAGAACACTTTGTCACTTCCCTTCCTGTTTGTTTTTATTTTTTTTAGAGTCCAAAGGCTGAGACAGCAAAAAAATTTCTAAACGCTTTGCTGGTGGTATTTCCAGGGAAATGAGTGGGCCAGATTTCCCCAACTCTAATGGGGTTCTTGAGGCGTCTCTGCAATAACCTGTGTTTTCCACAATCTGCATTATTTGAGGATGAGGACTGTTTCTTTTTTCCTTTTAAAAAAATATATTTTATTGATTATTTAGAGAGGAAAGGAAAGGGATAGAGAGTTAGAAACATCAGTGAGAGAGAAACATAGATCAGCTGCCTCCTGCACACCCCCTTACTGGGAATGTGCCCACACCAAGGTACATGCCCTTGACCGGAATCAAACCTGGGACCTTTGAGTCCGCAGGCCAATGCTCTATCCACTGAGCCAAACCAGTTAGGGCAGAAATGTTTCTTATCTAACCTCATTGTTCCAGCACTTAGTACTATGGCTGGCACACAGCTAGCCATCAATTAATGAGTAAATGCATAGCTGGTAAACTGCATAGCTAAGAACCTTAGTGACTGGTGAATGGCGAGCAAAACTGCACAGTCTACTAAGTAAACTGCAAAGCTCCCTAGGAATTGCATCACCAGTAAGAGGAGAAGACGCTCCAAACTAAAAGGAGTCAGCAACCTCACCACAGTCACAGTTTTAATAAAAAAGATTTAACAGCTGACTCTGAAATGCAGGCAAGTTTCACAGCTGGAGGAATGATTTTGTTCTACTCATAACTCATAAGACAAGTACCTACTCCTACAAACATGTTTTACAATAAGGAGTGACCTGTTTAGGAACTAAAGTTGGAAATGAAGAGGACTCTATGGTAGTACATCTTATGCATGTGGGGTAAGCTGTGATGCAGAACCGTGTGGACTAAATTGCTGAAGAAGCCAGATGTATTAATATTTCCACCAAGTTCCCAGAGGCTCCCTGAGAACCTGAGGCTGAAAGCTGTTCCATGGAGCCTGTCAGAAGAAAGGTATCATTCTGGCACACTGCCCTGGGAGCACTTGTGTCACAGCCCCAAGGGCTTTCCTGTGGGAATGTTCAGTAGGTTGGGGGCAGCAGGGACAGGGACAGGGAATGTGTTTTTGAATTTCTGCTCAAGCTGTGCCCAGGATGTGTCAGCTGCTGCTCTCATGGCTAGAGGGAGGTTTGCTCACCTGTGGTGTGTACCATCCTGGGACATTGTTCCTCAAGAAATGTCTATTGCATACATTGAATAAACAAACAAATTCAGTCATGGCTCAGGGTGCCATTAACATCATGTGATCAAGATAAAGAAATATGGGTCGAGGGTTAAGAAAGTAAGAAATATTTAAAATTGTTTAAGTAATTATAGCTGGAAAGTTCTGATGAGACTAACCAGAACCTGGGGGTGTGTGTGGGGCGGGGGTGCGGGGAGTGGGGGAGAACATCAGTGTCTTCTCCTTAGTTCAGCCTTGCAGTCACATTCTGCTTAAGGGTGTTGTTAATGACTTAGATCTAAGGAAATAAAGATCTCAAAGACCTTAAGATCTGTGTACATATGTGTGCCCTTTTTGTTTTATTTATGACTTTAAGAACAATATTATCCTTAAAGAAAATGTGAAAAACGCCAGGACCAGTTTGGCTCAGTGGATAGAGCGTCGGCCTGCGGACTGAAAGGTCCCGGGTTCTATTCCGGACAAGGGCACATCCCTAGTAGGGGTTGTGCAAGAGGCAGCTGATAGATGATTCTCTGTCATCGATGTTTCTAACTTTCTATCCCTCTCTCTTTATCTCTGTGAAAAATCAATAAAAAATATACTATATATAAAAAAAAGAAAATGTGAAAAACATATAAGATACAAAGAAAAATATTTAAACCCCATAACATACAGTATATATATTTTTAATTAATTTTCACCCAAGGATATTTTCTCCATTGTTTTATTTGTTTGTTTTGTTTTTAAGAGGGAGCAAAAGGGAAGGGGAGAGATAGAGAGAAGCATCAATGTGAGAGAAACACATCAATTGGTTGCCTTCTGCACGGGCCCCAACCAGGCCCAGGGATCAAGCCTGCAACCGAGATACATGCCCTTGACCAGAACTGAGCTTGTAGTGCTTGGCTTCTGACAGGCAGACGGGCACGGCTGGCAGCTTGGAAAGAACAGTATAATGGGTTTGTCGAACCACACGTTTGAGGGCATCGTCTCTCCTAAGACTGATCTCACCGCACTTCAGAACCAGTTGCCGGTGCAGTGGTCTCCGAAGCCACCCTCACTTTGACCAGCTAGCTAAGAATTTGGAGGTTCCCACACTACTTCAGATTCAATAATTCACCCAGAAGACTCACAGAAAGTACTGGAAGTGCCATGTACACATATGGTGACAGTTTTATTATAGCACAGCGATTCAAATGAGAACCAACCCAAAGAAGGGGCACATTAGGGCTCAGCCTGAGAGGTTCCAAATGCAAAGCTATTTTTGTTGTTTTTTTTGTTAATCCTCACTCGAGGATATTTTTCCATTGGTTTTTAGAAAGAGTTGTAGTGAGGGGGAGGGAGAGAGGGGAACATTGAGGCGAGGGAGACACATATTTATTGGTTGCCTCCTGCAAGGATCGAGCTTGCAACTGAGGTACATGCCCTTGACCTGAATCAAACCCAGGACTCTTCAGTCGGAGGCCTGATGCTCTATCCACTGAGCCAAACCAGCTAGGGCCCAATGCAAAGCTTCTTTCATCAACCACAGGATGT